ACGGTCTCGATAAGCATGAGCGTTCCTTCGTCAAGCTGCTCACGCTGCTCGTGGGGGGCTGTGAGCTTCGGGGCGTCGTTCGCTTGTACTTCGGTCCTTATTGCTGCAAGCTGCTCTTGCAGATGGCAGGGTGGTGACGTCTTTTACGATGACTACTTCCGGAGAGCGGTCCCGAGGCGGTGCTGTCCGGGGATCCCTGGCTGGCGCTTTTGGGGCGTTGACCTGCGCGGCTGACAGGGCGCCCAGCAACAGCTGTGCAGAGTGGCCTGTTCTATGTTCCCGCTTAAAATCTCCCTGGCGGCTTTTAGGTCGTTTTGGGTGGCTGGCAACATTTGGCCCGATCCCCCTTCGCCGGCTGCTTCGGCGGCTCCTGTATTGACCAGATTATCTCCCGTTGCCTTGTCTTCTTACCCGTCATTGTTTGTTTGTGCTGGAGCTCCTGGTTCTTTCCTTGGAGAGTGACGGTCCGCGGCGATGTCGATTCGTTGTGGCAGAGCGTCGATGAGGCTTGAAAGTAGTCGGTAAGGTCTTGAAATAAGTGAGAGCAACAATAATAAGCTCCAATAGTGTAGACAGAATGCCGGAACTGTCAGCTGAAATAGTAAATTCGAAATTCTCAGCAAGCCTTACGGCTGCCGTACATAACTTAGCTTAGAGGCTATATTCGCTTAGGAAGCGGTAAGATGAAGACGAGACGAAGACGGTGATGACCAGCACGGAAGCGTGTAGGCAGGATCGCCTAAGTCGATACCAACTGAAAAGGAAAGGACTCCGGTTCTCGTTGGGGATGTCAATATAGTTACACCGATGGCCGAGCGACTTAAGCCTGCTAATGACATAACAATCTAAACAACAATAACGAGTTAAATAATTATCCAGCGCCTAGATGGCTCCGAAATGTCGTACAACATCTCTAATCCATACGCGCGTTCACGAGTCGAGCTAACTACTCAACAACTAACTAGAAAACCTAACAACAGGTGCTGTAATATCGGCTTTCTCTTTAGGCTTAAATCAGGGGAATGACCAGGGTTATTTTCTATTTCCGCGAGCTATTTTTCTCTTGCTCTATGGCTTATTTCCTCTAGCGTCAAATTCCGAAGCAGACTAAAGCGACAAACGCTCTTTGAAGCGGATCTCGGCCGAGGGAGAACTCGCAGCACAGAGGTTAATGTATCTGTTTGCACACTGGCTGTGAATGCACATAGCGCGTCGTCCTAACGGAGGGAGGAGAGTTATGTTCGATGGATGGCCACAACAACAAATTACTATGCTGTGGTTAGTATGGCAGAACAAACAAGGGTATTCTGTCAAAATGTCCATGGTTTGGAACGCGGGATGATGAAGAAGGACCGCGTGCACCATGGTTCACCCCCAGCATAGGTGGTCAGCTGCACAGTTGGGCACCTGCAGCCTCATTTTACAGCAGAACCACCCATCCTAATCCTCCAGCTGTGTCCCCAATCCTCACCCTATAGCAGCAAGCCCATCCTAAACCTGCGACAGCCTGCAATCCCCATCCTATCAGCCAGGGTCCCATCCCCATCCTTGGCCAGGGTTCCCAATCCCATCCTTGGTCAAGGTTTCAATCCCCATCCCTCTGACAGGGTTCCCAGCCCCATCCTCACCCCGACAGCAATCCCCATCCTAAAAGTAGTGTAGCGCGCCTAATCCCTAATCCTTGCCTTGGGCCCCACATCCCATCCTGACGTCGTCACCCTATTCCCTATCCCGCCTGACCAGTACCTACCCCCAATCCCCAATCTTTGCAACCCTCTGCACCTCCTGTGGGGGCGCTTTCCTTACCAGCGCCGTAGTTGTCTATTTGATGGAAACTTCTTCGAGAAGCAATGCCCTTAGGAAAAGATAAAATGAACTCCACTATGCTCGGGGGGAAAACATCGCCACAATTACACAGATCACAGATGCCAGGTTATTGCACGAGGGCCGCAAAGCTGTAGGTCGGTGCCTGACTCGCAGGATGTCCGGCCCAACCTTGTCCTCCTTGGTGTCATGACGCAACATGAACAAACCATCCACCTCCTCCTGCGGGGCCGTCCGTACTTCCATACACCTCACAAGGATAGAGCCGTACCCTCGCCTACTCCCGTCCTTCGCATTTAGTCTGCTATTGTCCTCTCCCCTTGAGGATATCCATCATCATGGGTTATGCGGAAAAAAGAATTACGCTAATATAACACTATATTAGTGCTAACCTCGCAGCTAGCGCCACAGCGATCCCAATCAGTGCTGCAGCCCTCTCCAGCAGTGGTCCCACACACGTAGAGGACCGATTAGTCCCTCTGTTCTACTCCCCCTGCTTGAGTACGGGACGATGACGGGGCTACACAGATGTGCAGCTGCTTGCCTTGTGTGGGCGGGAACGTTGCATCCAAGTGAACGAGTGCGTGACCGGTTCACCGGTTGTTGCGGGTGGGCCCTTACCTACCGCTCTTCCAGCCCGGAAAGGGAACATGGAAGGCCGAGAAGAACGTTTTCCCTAAACAGCCCAAAGGAGGCAAAGCCGCCACCTCAGCAGCGAGGTGCACTCGTTCATGTGCGTTTACATCATCAATGACGCGCAAACAGCGGAAGCATGGTTACAGATGCCATGCCCAATGCGGCTGTGGAGGAGTAACACCATGCAGCCCTGAGATTAAAAACCTACTAGTACCCATTCAAGACCCCCTGGACCCCGGGCCTGCACACCCAAATGCCGCCTGTAACCCTATGCTGGCTATACTAACGAATCTCCACCCTTCGCTTTCCGGGCTGCCCGCGCCTCCCCAGTCAACACACGTTTGCTGACATGGCGGCCCCTCCACACCTCACCTCCGGCCCCGTAGCACGACTTCGGCTGGGGCCCATCAGGCCGTATCTCAGCCCTGTTTCAAGCCAGGATGAAGCTGGGCGGCCGAGGCCACAACTGGCCAGCAGGGCATGGCCTCATCCTCCACACCGACTGCCCGGACACGTACTCACCGTACTGTATCGGGCTATCCCTGCACTACGGCAACCTGGCCAGACGCCTGCGCGCGTGCATCTCGCCAGGTCACCCTCCACCCCTCCTGCCTTAAAGTGTTGAAAGGCTCTTCAAAGGCTAGAGAGCCCCTCGCTGGCACACAGCCTATTCGCACCGCGTCCTGATCTCACCCCCGACACCGCCAGCCTGCAGGGCGCCACGTGAATACTCCAAGGCACCAGGCATACACACACAGAGACACATACAGACGCCGCAGGAAACAAGCGCGACGCAAATCTGGAGGCGCACATAAGGAAACATAATATAACCATGCAAGTGCGGACTCAGATCCGCGCCCGCGGGGCCAAAAGGAAATGTAAATGCGTACAATACGCATGCACGCAATGGGGCTACAGGCAAAAGGGCACGCACATACAGGTCCAGACCTATCCACCACGCTATCCCCCTTTAAAACGCTTTGCGCCCAGACGTGCATTGTAGAAATTCCCTAACGTTGCGGGTCCGTCCGCCCGCAACAACTTCACCCTCACCCTCGCCCTGGCGGAACCAAAAGCCGTAGTTCTTGCCACCGCCCCTAAAACGAATGCACGGATGCGTGATGGCAGAGCTGGGGCTTCAAATAAAACGTATTCCGGACCGACCCGGTTTGCAGTTTACGGAAGGGAAGGGGTTCCAGATGAGTTCGTTCTCGGGACCGCGCCCATATTTGGCGGGGGAATGGGCCCCCTGGCGCTACACCTGGGACCCTCGGGTTGCGCAATGGCGGGCACCCCGGAAGACATTAATAACCCGGCAGGCGGATAGCCTAATCAGACAGACAGATAAACAGACGGACAGACAGGCAGACAGATAAACAGACGGACGGACAGACAGATAAACAGAATGCAATCCTACAGCACTACTATGCTGGGCGATGAATGCCGAAAGGCAGTGTTATAATTATTACTAATGTTGCTTTCTTGTCGGGAGCGCAAATACGTGTATTCGCAACAGTGTAGCAGTTCCTGCCCTGACATCGCACACGCACCCGCCCATCCACGTACAACAAAACGCTATCTATATGATATTCCTGAATGGCCTGCATAAATCTATTTGCTGCGAGTAACTATTATATAAGCGGCGGCGCATGACACCTCAATCCACCCTATACATAAATACGTGGATTGCGCGGCCCTCCATCCGCACCGAAAGCTAAACACAAACTGGAGCGCGCGAGATAGCGAACACACACCAGCACATGCGATGGGACTCGCACACTGAAAGGGGCGCCGCCAGTTGATTGACCTGCGCGAGACTTGGTGTTACCCTTTAGGCATGTCTGGTGTGTATGTGTATGCGTGCGTGCGTGCGTGTGTGTGTGTGTGTGTGGAGGTAGAGGGAGGGAGGGAGGGAAAGCGCCTGTACTGCTCGTTCCAGTTCTACTACCCATCACCCAATCTACTCCGTCCTCGCTACCGCACATCCGCCCACGCTTCACTCGTGATTTCCTCCCCCACCCACCTCTCTGACTCCCTTGTTCGCTCAAATTGGCACACCGCCCTCCAACTCCGCAACCCGCCCGCGCCTCAGTCACCCGGATGACCCTCCTCCTCCTGATGATCATCACACCTCCCCGCCACCTCACAGCGCCCCCAGGTCCAGCGCCGGGGAGGGCCGCAGCAGGTCCCGCCGGTCCACGGAGGCGCCCCGCACGTCCACAGCCGGGCGGAAGGACATCCAGGGGAAGGCCTCCATGAGGTCCTTCTGGATCTCCTCCAGCTCCGACTCCCAGCGCAGGAACAGCGCCGCCGCATTCCCCGGAGACAGCCAGGCGGCGCTGCTCTGCATGGCACGAGGCCCCTCCACGGGCTGCAGGACGCGGACGCTGGCGGCCCCGGCATCTCGCGAGACCTGGCGCTCCTTGTCGGAGGGCAGCGAGCCCAGCAGCCAGAACTGCCCCACGGGAGCGTAACGCTCACCGAGACCGTCGCCCATGACCTGTGCGAGGTTTGGGGCGGACGGGAAGGGACGGGACGGGACGCATCCAGGATTGGGTTTAGGGAGGGCAAGGGTGTGTGTGTGTCTGTGTGTGAGTGTAGGATGTCGAATGGAGGAGGTGGAGGAGGTGGGGGGGGACGCTGAGGAGGAGGTGGAGGAGGAGGAAAAGGAGCAAGTAAACGCAATGAGAGAGCAGCAGCAGCAGCAGCAGCGCAGCAGCACCACCACCACCAGGACATGCCGCGTGTCCCATCAATAACTATCTACCGCATATCTCGCCTCCTTCCTTCCGCAGTTTGGATTATCATCATGACACGGTAGTCACCATGTCGTTCCGTTCCCCACTACCCTCTCCACAACCGAGCTGCGAGGCAAAGTACACTGCATCACTGTTCCCTCATATCCCTCCGCACACGGGCCCCCTCCGCGGGCCCCTCCCGCCAGTAAGAGTACCTGCAACAACCGCAGCAACGCATCGCGCCAAGCCGGCGGCCTTCCCGGTTGCTGGCGAGACGCCAAGCTTGGCGGCACCGTCAGAGTGCGCGAGGGGCCCGACCTTGACGGTGACTCCACCACCACCGGAACCGCCCGCTTGGAACGCGACGTCAACGACCGCATCGGCGACAGCGGCCGCCCCGCCGCCGCCGTCGCCGCCGCCGCTGTATCCAGAGTCTCCTGACTCCGCCGGCGGGAGAGCCCCGACCGCGATGCCGCGCTCGTGGAGCGCGTCGCTGCCGGTGACTTTGGACCTGACGCACCGCCGCCGCTGCCGGCGTCGCCTTCGGCGATGCGCACTGTTAAGACCTTTTCCGTGACAATGGCCGCGGCGTCGCCGGCGGCGGCGTCCAGCGCCGCCGCCGCAGGTGCTGGCGCAAAGAGGCCCCCAGGAGCGCATACCCTTGCCAGCAGCGGTGTTTCTAGCTGCCGTGCCAGCAGGCGACTTGGGCCTGTGCTACGACAGCGCGACAGCGCATCCACACCATCCGCGACATGACGACACCACTCCTGCACCGCCGCCACCTGCGGTGTACGGGCGATGGACGCGGGGGACGAAATATCGTCGCAGGCGGCCGCTGCGGCGGCGGCATCGCCGCCGCCGCCAACGGCGGCGGAGCCGCCTGCGACAGCGGCGGCGTCCGCCGCCGTGAAGTCGTACGCCGCGTCGCGCGCCTCGGACGCGACGGTGAAGAGCTCGCTGGCGGCGGCAAAAAAGGCGGGGCTGGCGTCGCCGGCTCGCCAAATCGTGTGTAGGTTGAGCTGCTGGTTGGGGTGCAGATCCAGCGCGGAGAGGTTGCGGCTGAGGGAGGAGGTCGCGAAGAAGGGGCTGCCGAACGCGAAACTGGACACCTGCAGGCCATGTGTTGCCAAGTGAGCTTCCCAGGTTAGCGCACCATGGCGTGCACCGCGGCAACGCGGGAGACGTTGGTCAGCAGGTGGAGAGCGGACGGGACAGGGAAGGGACAGACAGGCCCCATACTCTTTATCGTTAATAGGGTTTACTACACCCTTTTTGTTTACAGGGTTTACTAGTGTACTAGACCCTATCAAAATAAAGAGTACGGGGCTGTGCCGCGATGATTGTATGCCATGTACATCTACATTGAGATGGGAGAAGGTTCAGGTGGGGGGGTTAGTGCGGTGGGTATGATGACATGGAAGGGGATGGGCGCGAGAGATTGCGGAGCGGAAGGTCTGGGTGGTGAGGCCTAGGGGCGGGTGGGAACTGGGGAAGATGACAAACGAACGGATGGGAGCGAGAAGATGAAAGGGTGTGATGAGGACGCGCGCCAGGGCCCGGTGGGGGCGGCAAGACGCACACACCCCGTCCAAAAGAAGGACCCCCAGGCAATCAGGGCCCGGGGTCTGACCGGCCGGTCTGCCACACGGCGCCTAGCGCCAGAGTACCCCCTCTCCACCTTGTTTCCCTTGAGTGTCATGGTGAGGTTAATGCCCATCTGTTTCGCCATCTGCACCTCCTGATGCAGCTGCAGCAGCACCCGTACAGCGAACAGGTGCGCCACCACGCCGCCAAACTTGAACCCGGTGGCAACCAGCTTGTAACCCTGCGGGGCCCCGCCAGGGCAAGGCAGCGCAACATCGCGCATGGCGCCACGGCACGAGACAGACCACTTTCTATTTTCCCGTCCCGCATCCCGCCAGCTATACCCCTGCCCCCCCCCCGACCAGGTAGGTAGGTTACGTCTGCCGCAGCAGTCTTTCCCCCCTTGGCACCAGCTTCACTCGCTCGTGGTTCGTCTTTAACCCCACGGGGCCTAAAACCCACCTGACCCAGCAAGCTGAGAACCATCCCTAACGGTAGGGACTCCAGAGCTGCCAGGGCGTGGCCGTGGACATGGCAGGCTGAGCTCGTGAAGCACCCAGCACGGCGCGGCACCGTGTGGGTCCGCATGGTAACGAGGAGGCGGTGGGTGGGTCGGTGGATGGGTGGGGTGGTTGCCCGCGGGAGGCGGCACGCCAGGGAAAGGGGGGGGAACATGTAAGAGGGGGGGAAAGAATAGGGCGGCTGGACGGCAGGCCCAGCGTCCGGCCGCAGCGTGTGTGTGCGCAAGTGCGTTGTTGTGCTGCTACTGCTACTGCTACTGTATGTGTGTATGTATGTGCACTACGGGAGCGAGTGCACTTGAGGGCAGAGGACTGCGGAGCACTGTGCTCAAAACCTCAAGCGAGGAGGTGGAGGAGGAGGTGGCGGTGGAGGAGGAGAAAGCTAAGCGCGGGGGAAGCTCTACATCGCATGCATGGTACCGCGCAGGGATGCAGAAACGGGGGCAGGGAGGAACAGGTAGCGGTGAGCAGGTATGAAGGGGGGCGATTGAGTACGGAGGTTGGGGGACATCCGGGACAGAAGAGTCCACAGGTCGACAGGTCGGACCTTTTGGCTTGGCTGCAGGGAAGGGTTATGATGTGGGTTAGGGGGAGCACATGAATGGCCAAGGCGCATGCAGGCTACGTGCGGCGAAGGGGCTACGTGGCTGTCACGTAGCCGGAAGGGATGCGCCCGATAGCCGCACGTGTGAGCCCTCGCATCGTCCTGGTGCTGATGCAGCTATAGCAGCAGCAGCACAGGCAGCGGCAGCTGCAGCAGTCTCCTGCACCAGCACACTGACACGCCGCGGGCACCGCTGCCCGTGCCAGTCGCCGTCTGCAGCCCAGATCAGATGCATGGTTGGGTTCCAGCGGGTGCACGGTGCGTGAGTCTGCTGCTTCTGCTGCTGCTGCTACCGCGGCTGCGGGTACTCGCCTGCCAGCTACCCCCCGTGATCCGCCTAGTCAGCCATCCAGCCACCCATCTGGCCGCTACCCACCCGCTGCCCCAGGGAAGCCGCACGCCCGCTGTGCCGCAAGGAAATTGGCCATGGACGTCTGTCCCGGCACGTCATGGTTTTGGTGCCGCAGGCTGTTGGAGAACGCGATGAAGACGGTGGGGACTACCTGCGAGATAGCAGGGGGCAGGGGGCAGATGGGGTGGGAGAGGCGCAGGAGGCGATCAGGGTGCAGTGCACGGTCCAGGGGTGGCGAAGGGATAGAAGCGTGAGATCGTGGGAGATGGACACGGGGCCGCCGCTTGTTGGGCATTGGTCATGGAGGCAGCGAGATCAAGTAGTGACGTGAGGTGTGCATGTGTCTTTTATTGTGCATTTGTATTTTGTGCTCGTGTGTGTGCGTGTGTGTTTGCGTGTGTGCGTGCGGATGGGTGGGGACTGGCTACGAGCCCACGCTGTCAGGAAGGTTATACCTGTATTCCATGCATGGTCCCTTTACAGTATTGTTAATGTATACTGTTTCACTCGTGGAGCAGTATACATAAACAATACAGAGGGACACGATGGCAGGAATGTTGGGTCCATCAGGGGACATGGGCGTTTCGGAGGGTTCTAGTTAAGGGATGGCCCCGGCAGCCGTCCCCTGTCAACTCGTGTACAGGCCGCCGGGACAGCCTCTAGGGGACGTCAAGCTTACAGCAGCCGAAAGGATGACCCCTGGGTCCATTCCGCCGTGCTGCTTAGACGGGAGTTTTACTTAAGGCAAACTGCAGGCAGACATTGCAGTTGACTAGAGATTACCACAACAAAATGGTAGTGCCTATTCGTTTGGTTCCTGAGGCCGAGACGACAAGTGCGAGGTGGCTGGGATGCGTGAAACATCAAACGCGACGGCACCCATAAGGTGAAACCCCAGAAAGCTAATTGAATTGAGCTAAAAGCTCCGGCAAATCACTCATATCAGCGACGGTGAGGTTTTAGAGGACTCCCTCACGAATAGTAAGATAGAAGACTGCCTCGATGTGTTTGCACACATTAACATACATACCTGCATATGGTGGTTTTTCATGTTCGTTCCGAACTTTATTGCATTGCTTGACAGCGCTAGTAGGGCACGGAGCGGGCCAGCATCATACATCGCATACTCCGTAAAGTTATGCAACTCGACCTTCAGGAAGGTGCAGTCCTCAACTCCATAATGGCGATGGAGCAATATCTCAGACAAAGGAGCATACCTTTTCCTTCATTTCATGCACCGGATCAAGAGCATCAACTGCACTTGAGAGTAAAAAGGCGGATTGAAGATGAAGTTCTTGTTCGGGGCTCAAGGTGGGTGGAGTGGCCATTTGCAGGTAGGGTCCGGCGGATAGAAAGCGTCACCTAAATGCGCGCTGTCCGTCAGAAGCCACAGGAGCTATCTTATGGTAATTACAACATGTTTCGTAAGCATCTCAGTCCTAGGCACGGTTGAACAGTTGAAACGTATGGGGTACGGCGAAGAAAACGGCGTTAATCGCCGGAAAATATTTTTCCTACAGCCCGATCTTCAGTAACCCCTAGCATGCTGAAATCATGGGCCCTCGGGCTATGGTTGGTGCCATATCCTTAACCCAGTAGGTGCAGACAACTGTGCTGGACTTGGCCGCGAGCTCCCGTCAAACATAGACATTTCTGCCTTCAAATTTTCTGTGTACTCGTACACAACATGTGGGGGTCTGCTGCTGGGAAAGGTTTGTAGGTTTGTAACAGGTTGACTTGCCGGTTCGTGGGCTAGCGGTTGCTCAGGAATGGCGTCGCACCGCGAGCAAGGTGTTCTGGGCGAATGGCAGTCGCTGTATAATGAGTTCCTCAGCGCAGAACGTGCTGCTGAAAGTGTTCAGAAGTCGCTGGCCCCGGACTCCAAATGGCACATTCCCTCTCCTGAGCCGTCGATGACTGACCTGTCGAAGCCAGCTGAGAAGCAACAACCACATAAATTACCACAGCAGCGCCCATGGGCACCGATGCCGGGCGACCTGTTCGGGGCGGTCACCGAAGACTGCTGCACCGAAGAAGCAGTGGCAGTGGAGGAGGAGCTATTGCGACGCCTCAAATCTCGAGCTCCCAGCCCCAAATCAAGCGGTGTGGTATCGCTGCAAGACGCGCATCATCAGCTGCCTCAGTCGGGAAATGTGGTAGCACATGGGTACAGGCCGAACCCCCTCACAGTTGGCGCCCGGCCGCTCAGCGCGACCCACCACCACAGCACCTCCCAGAACTTGCTGCTGCATCAGCTGCCTGCACAGCCGGGCAGGCGACCGGCCAGCCAACTCCTCAGCACCGCATCAGCCGCTCCTTACGGACCCAGCGAAGCAGGGGAAGCCCAGGGCAATGGAGCCACGCACGCCTTCATGCCGGGAGCAATCGCCCAGCCTTCCCCATCCTCCTCCCGTCCCCATTCACCTTTGCGACCCACATCGCAGACCGAACCGCATGCATACCAACCCCCCCATTACCAACTCCAGGTAACCTCGGCCAGCGCCCTCCGCTCCGCTGCACCTGCGGCAGAGGCAGACCGCAGCGCTTTTAATCCCCAATACCCGGCCCAGCACCGCCCTCAAGCCCATCTGCGCCAGCGCCCCGCCTCTGCTTGGCCTGCGCCTTCAGCTGAGTCATCGGAGCCCACGCATTCGACCCACGTCGCCTACCGGAAGCAGCCCCTCACAGAGGCCAGCCCCTCGCTGCTGGGGTACCCCCGCCAAATGCGGTCCAGCCCCGGCCGTGCCTCCATGCCGTCGATGCCGTCCCCAACGCTCAGCTCACGCCGCGGCTCCTCGCCACGCTCCTGCTCCCGATCCGCTGGCGGCCGGCAGCAATCCGGGACGACCTACGTGGAGCTGCACCAAAAGAGACAAAACAGCCCGCCGCGCTCGTTAGAGCCGCGCGACGAGCTGTTCGATATGTTGCACCGCGGCATGTCACCCAACCGCCTGCGGCTACTGATCAAGGCGGTGGGTATGGCAGCCTATGAAAGGGCGCTGCAGCTTTCACGCGAGGCGCTGTTGTCGTCGCCGGGGCGGTTCCGGAGCGGAGGTGGGTTGGGGGCTACATCGACGGAGCAGCTGCAGCGGAGGGAGCCCTGGTCTCAGCAGGAACGGCAGCCGCCGCTTTCGCCAGGGGGTGCAATGCCGCAGAAGAGTCGGCAGGCGCCATCGCCGGCGATTCATCAGCAGCAAACGCAAGCGAGGCACCGCTTTCAGGGGCAGTCCTTGCATTCTTCACCCGCAAGCAGTGCGTTTGCATCGTCCGCAGCTCAGCAAGCAAATCTTCGCAGAAGCGAAGGCAAGTACGGGATGCGTCGAAGGTGGGAGGAGGACGCGGTGGCGACTCGAGGAACACCCATAGGCGCTCTTGGGAACCTGCGTGCATCCGCGCCCGCAGCGGCCGCGCCGGCGCAAGGCGTGGGTCGTGAAGCCGCCGCCGGCATGAGCAGCAGGTGGGCTGATCCAGCGTCGGTTGGCAGGGAGAAGCAGCACGCTGAACAGGCGACCGGACCGAAGGGGAGGGGTAAAAGATCTCCGCTTCGCGTGGCTGTGGGCTCGCGCGGGAGCGTCTCTGGTGCAAGAGCGGGCGCTGTTAGCGACGGTGGGGAGGTGTCATTGGGCCCGGGGCGCAGCAGCAGCAGCGGTGGTGGTAGCGTTCACCGGCAGGGCACGGCTGCATGGCGGCACCCCGGGGAAGTGCTGCATGCGGGAGCGGCCACGCTTCCCAGTCCAGAGCTATTCATCAGTCCCCAGGCCTACAGGGAGTACGCGGCACGTGATCAGCAGCAGACGTGCGGCGGCGGGGACGGGGCTGCTGACGGCGGGCCCATAGATGCGCCTGTGGATGAAGGGGAGGACGACGGGCTAACCGCGTTCAATGTGCATGGTGTGCGACATGTACAGCAGCGTCTGGCGGCGAATATGGACGCAGCGGTGCGGCGTTCGGTTGTGCTGCCAACGCCTCCGTTTACGGCGTTGTTTCGCAACAATTCAGTCTTTGGTGATAATGGTCGTGCGGATGCACGGGGCCTGGCGCTCGCGCCACGCAGCCGGGCGGCAACTGCAGCACATCCGCCACCGGGGACAACGCTCCGGCGTCCTAACCCGTCTGCGCATTGTGTGACAGACGCATCTGGCCGAAGTGTGGGCGGCGGCGCCGCTGCAGCCCCACCTGGCGCCGGCCAGAACACCGCAGCGCGGGACGGAGATCCGCTCAACTTCGAGCATCCGGATGAGACGGACACGGAGTTTGAGCACTACGACAGCTTGTCCGGCAGTCGCGGCGGTGCTGTCATGGCTACGGGGCCAGCGCTGCCAATGTCACATTTGGAGTGGCACGTAAACCCAGCATATGGCATGTCGGCAGCATCGAGCAGCGGTGGTGGCAGCGCCGTTATGCGCTCCAGCTGGCCCATCACACCCGCACGGGGAGAGCCAGTCTCAGAGCCCTCGCTCGCATCCATGCTCCCGGTCAGACACCCTGGCGGCATCACGGCCGTTTCTATCCTCCCAACGAATACCGCCGTGGATACTGCTGCTGCTTCTGCCGCTGCCGCTGCCTTGGTTTCAACGCCTTCGTCGCCCTCCTCCGAAACCGAACCCATGAGCCGCTCCATCGAGTCGCGTGCCGGCGCATACGCCTGGCCTGATGAAGCCACGTCGCCGCACTCAAACACCAGCCGGTCCGTCGTCGACGCTCAGTGGGGAGACTTGGGTATGGATCCATACGACCCGGTGGGGGGTTTTGAGGGGGCATTACCGGCTCCGCATGTGGTTTCCCCGAATGGTGGGGCTTCTGGCGGGGCCAGCCTTCGCCAGGCTGATGCCAGAGGCCAGAGTCCTCATGCTGCTAGGGGTTATCACCACGGGCAGGGCGGTCCAGAAGCGAGAGTCGCACCTTCTACCACAGCTGCAGCAGGAGGAATCAGTGGGCTTGGTGTTGCCCAGACGCGCAGTGCTTCGTCTCCTAGGTCTTTGGATGCAGCGGCTCAGACGGATGCCTCGAAGTCAGGTGAGGTCCCGGACACGGTTAGTTAAAAGGGGCGGAAGGGGTACATGATGGCCGGCACTGCCGTGCGGACTCAGTGTGTGGTTTAATGATCTGAGCCGTGTCCGTGGACCGGTCACATCACCAATCCAGTCGCCCTGGGGCCCCGCTCTTGCTTGTTCGCTTTCAATAGCTGCGCATTGCTTTCCTTGCACACGGTTGTTGTCGTGCGTCGGGACGCCTCCCACATGCCCCCTCGCGATTAGTCCTGCGACAAGTGTGTCTAATTTCGGCCAGCCTATGGCGCACTCTTCTTAAACCCCTTCCCTTCCTTTCATGAAAGGGAGGGGAGGGGCACACAGGCCACGGCCAGGTAGTCCTTTGGGTGCCGATCTCATAAGAAGCAAAGCGCAAATGACGACACGAAAGCCGTCTGTGTGTCTACGGTGCACTCCATCTCTCATGCAAGAGCTCCTCCTTCCCCTTCCGCTGTGGTGGGACTGCGTCTCAAACCCCCGAATTCCGCATCGGTGAAAAAGAACCAAATAACAGTCCCCGCGATTCGTATTCCCGCTTCCATACCACATGCTTAACCCCTCCTTTTTACCCTTTCGGGTGCATGGCGATTGCTTCTGCTCAACCGTCCTCGCATGCCCCACGATCTGGCTCCTAACCCCGCCCTCCGTCCCTATCTTACCTACACTCGCACAGCAGTGGCGCATCTGGACCTGGTCTCCATCACGGAGCAGCTGAGCCGCATGGATCTGGCAAGTCTGGAGCTGATCCGGGGATACGCCAGCGGCTACATAGACGGCCGAGTCCAGGGCCTGACACACCATGGCCAGGTGAGAGAAAAAACACCTCCCCAATCCCCCACACTCCCACTCCTCCAAAGGGCACAGGGCCCTCCGGCAGATGGCCGACGGGTTAAGTTAGCTCTTGAACCTTAAGAAGGATCCGTACACCGTTACACGCACGATATGGTAGGCTGTATTACCACTTTTGCTTGCTGGGACACCGAAGCGGCGTGCTCGTGCATATGGCTGGGCTGGTCAGGGCAAGGCTGGCGGCATAGCTCGCGTCCTTGCCTTCTCCTGCTTAGTCGACCTCCCTGTGCTGTCCTGCCCGCGTTTTGAGGTCTTTTGTCCAGGTGCCGTGTCCTTGCCTTACCACCTCTTGCGCTCCCCGCTTCAACTCCCCACTGCCATACACTACCCTAAGGTCCCCCAACACACATGAGCGCGATGCCCCCCCCAGCAGCCCACGCGCATACACTCTGCACTCATCTGTTGCTAAACTGCCCGCAGATTCGGTCCCAGGTCGTGAAGTCTGCAGTGCTGCGCCTCGTAGACGACGTGCTGCAGTCGAAACGGGACGCGTCGTCGGTGCTACAGGCGCTGCCGCCGTCCAGTGAAACGGCAGCTGCCGGCATGGAGGCGTTCGGCCCGGACACGGCGGCCGTTGTCGCAGCCGCGGCCATTGCCGTGGCAACGGCAGTTTCGCCTGCGGCGCCGCAGTTTGGCGGCGCTGAGGCCGCCGCTACCGCAGCGGCGGTGGCGGCGACAACGTCGAGCGGCTTCAAAGGCAATGATGAGACGGTGGCAGGGCCGCCGCCGCCAGCTCCTTCGCGGGTCAATACGGGTTACAGAGCCTCTGTTTCGGCCTTTCACGAGGAGCTGGTCGCGAAGATGCGTGAGGTAGCCGGGCCAGGGGATGAAGATGCGGCGAAGGACGAGGCGCGGTTGGAGGAGGGGCAGCCACAGGGCGAGGAGCCGGCTGCGTCTGCACAGGTACGGTGGTGTGGCAGATCGGGGCCCTGGCATCCTGGCTTATAAAGGGGCAGCGACCCGCGTTGAACACCGCAGAGGAGCGTTGGGCATAGGGACAGACCTGGACAGGAAACTGTAATTTCGGTCAGCAGTGGTGTCCAAGGCAACGATTTGGTGGTACACGGTTCTCACGGTGGCTGATGTAGACGTGAAAAGATGAGAAATAGAGGATTCTGGCAATGGTAGGCGAATAGGAGCCCTAACGGGTAGGGTTTCTGCAGGGGGTTTTGAATGGCTTTTGAGTTAAACGTGGACTGGACGGCGATTGGCAGCGTTGGGGTGGTATTGAGGAAGGATGTCGCGAGCCCTGACATTTCAAGGAGTGAACCCCACTATGTTCCTAACCCCCCAACGCTGTTGGTGATGATGGTTGCAATTGCTGCGCCAATGTCATGGTACAATAGCTCGTGCAGGTCTACAACTCAAGAGTGGCGTGTGGGGCCACATGGCGCAGCGGCAGATGAAGAGCCCGGGGCATGTTTAAGCAGGGCACGCAGCGCACAATGCCCCGGCTAGCTCCTCCACGTACCTTCAACCCTAAGTCTCCATATAAAACTCCCTTATTTATGCTCCGCCAATGCAGGCTGGGACACCTGTCAGCGCACCTCCGTCAGTGCCGTCTGTTTCCGGCGACGGCAACGGTGGGTCGCACGTCCTGGCCGGCGCCGCCCCGGATCCCTCCATCCGGAGGTCCGACCCGGGTGCCGCCGCCACCACCGCCTCTGCCGCGGCCTTCGTCACCATCGGCGACAGCATTCACAGCCCCGGTGCCGGGTCGGCGGCGGCCAGCAGGCGGCACCTCAAGTGCGTCAGCTGGCAGCGCAACACGGTGGATGACAACGATGATGATGATGATGACGACGAGGAGGAGGAGGAGAAAGCCAACAGCATCTCCCCGCTGCCGCAGGCAACTAAGCCTAGGATGCACACTTCGCACCGTATGCGGCTGCCCTCCGCGCCACCCGTGGCGATTGCGGGGTCTGCGGCGCCCTTGTTCGACAGGGAAGACGCGGCGGCAGCTGCAGGCGGCCGTGTTGGCGCCGAAGCTGCCGCAGCGGTCGTAAGTGCCCCGCTGAAGGCCGAGGTCTGTTTGGAGCTGGAAGACGGTTCGGACGAAGAAGATGCTTTGGAGCTGGCGGGGGTCCTTGGTGGTCTCCACTCCAAATCTCACCCGCCGCCATCGGGGTCGCCACGGGGCACGGGCACCAAGCCCGGCCCTAGCCACTCGGCTCCCATTCCATCCGAGCCAGAGCCGCCGCCGCTGTCGTCATCATCAGCCCCAGACGCCAATGGATCTGGCCCCTTATCCGCGCTGCTGTTCGAGCTGACTACGACCGGTGGGGCCCCGGCAGGGACAGGGATGACTGGTGCATCTGCAGCAACACCAGCACTCGCGGCGGAGGCAGCGCAAGGAGATGCTTCACAGGAGCATCCTCCAGTGCCGGAGCCTGGCGCCAACCAGCTCATTTCCCCTGGCGCGCACGAGGATCGTCCGACTGCGGCGGCTGTGGGATGGACGTCCCGTGCCAGCAGTACCGCTGGTGATGGCGACAACAGCACCAGCAGGAGCCTCTCTGGCGGCGGCGAGCGCCTCCACCGCCGCCCTTCCCTTGCGCAGCTGGTCGCAGCGCACCTGTCGGAGGGATCGCCGGGAGGCGGCAACGGGGATGGCGCGACGCACCAAGACCTGTCGGAAGTAGCCGGCCGTGAGCCGTCACAGCCTCAACCCGGCAAGCCGCAAACACTGCAACCGCCACAACTGTCCTTGCCACCTAGGGAGATGCAGGCGCCGCAGCTCACTCCCGAACAGATACAGATTCAACATCTGCGCGAGGAAATTGAACAGCTCAAGCGCCAGGCCTTTTTGGCACAGCAGCGGCCCGCCCCTGGGCTGAGTCCTGGCGGTCCCTCGTCTGGGGGCGCCGGACACTACGGGCCATCGCAAGCACCCCACCGAACCCGGGCTCGGGGAGAAGAGGAACATGCAGGCGTAGAGGAGCAGTACGCAGAGCAGGCAACGGCGGATGAGGCGCTTGGAGAGCATTGGGGTACTGCAACCACCACCCGTTCAGAGCGCAGGATTCACGCCATCGGGTCTGCCGCCGGTGCATCGTCTCCCCGTGGGGCAGCACCTGGGTCCGTCCGCCGAACCGCATCTGCCATTCGGGCCTGGCCACATGTCGGCAACACACACCACGTCGCGCAGAGCAGCCGCTTGGGTTCTGCAGAACCCAGCTCGGCCCTCGCCTCGCCCCTTCGCGGGCGTACGGTGGTGTTGTCCAAGCCCGCATACGCCGGCGTCTTGACCTCCCCGCCGCTATCGCCCGCCTCATCCCGGCCTGCCAAGCTACAGGCGCTGTCCACCTCGCCCCCAGTCAACACCTCACCCGGACATGGACTTCATGCGTTGAGAGATCACTCGCCACCCGGCAGCTCGCGCTCCACCACCCCCACCCGCAAGGGCGCAGTAGCGGCGGCAGTATCAGCACTGCCGCTGTCGCGGCATCCGGACCTCGATCAGGCGCTGCAGAACGAGTCCATGTGGTTCATTCAGCAGCTGGAAAATGCCATGGCTCGTACTGGCGCAGCAGGCAAGCCCGGCTCACCGGATGGGGTACCCTCCACCACGCAGGCGGCCGCGGGATCCCTTGGGGTTAGCGGCGGCGGCGCTGACAAAGCCGCTAGCGCTGCTACGGCAGTCGAGGATGGGACTACCAGCGTCGGCGTCGGCGGGTCCCCCCGCGGCGACCAACTCTTAAAGGACCTTGTGGCCCGTGGGATGCTGCGCGGCAAGCCACCGTTGTTGAAGGAGCTGCATGAGGCGTCCCTGGATGAGCTTGCGGCGGCGGTGGTGGGTCTGCTTAGTGGCAGCAGTGGCAATGGCGGTGGCGGCGCAACAGGGCCGGCTGCCGCTGGCTTGTTACCGCAGCAGCAGGTTGCGGCTGATGCGGTTAACGATGCCGATGAGGTGCCAGCATCCGATCCTGCAGCAACACAGGCAGCTGGAGAGGACCACGAGCGGACTCAGGATACGCAGCCTACTGCACCCGTTCCATCGTCATCAGCCAAGCTCAAAGCCCCGCCGCCATCGGACGAGGCTGAGGACGATCCGCCTAGCCCCCAGCGGTCGTCTGTGTTGGCGAAAGACACCCCGGCCGCCGCCGGGGCCCTTGCTGCCTCCGCGGCCGCGACTGTGGAGACGGCTGATGTGGAAAAGCCTGAATCGCCATCCCTGCGCCGCGGAGGCGACGACGTCGCGTCTTTCTCGGGCTTCGCCAACAGCCGTGTGATCCACGAGGTAGTCGCCGGCGGTAACACGGCACATGGCCTGCCTGCGCTGGCAGGGACTCCACCACCCGTTGCGGCAACAGCCTGTGGCACTTCGGCTGCCGGCCACGGCTCCGGGGCCGCCAGCTCGGCGGCGATACGGACACAGAACGTAGAGCCGGAGGTCGGGGCGGTGGGCCAGGGAGGGCCAGTCACACAAGCCGTGCCTCTGCTGGTGCTCTCCAACTCATCGAACTCGGTGTCATCAAGAACGAGCAGCCACAGCAGCTGCGGCGGCGCGTCTTTGCGGAGGCTCTTGGATCCCCAGGCCGGCATGGGCACCCCACCGCGTGGCGTCGCAATGGCATATCTGCGGCGGCAGCCCAGCACAGGGGTGACGTCGGGGCCGGCGGCTGCGGGGCCCAACGATCCTGGCAGCGGTGCAGAAGTCGGCATGTCGGATACCAACAGCGTTCTAGATTCTCGGTCAACCTCGATGTCGCAGAAACGAGCGTTGAAATCGGAAGTAGGGGCCCCGGCAGCGGTCGGCGGCCCCGGCACCGTGATACCGCGGACGGACTCGTTTGCACAGTCAGCTGGGCGCAGCGCTGCAGCTGTAACTGCCGGTGCGGGTGATACGGAGCCGGAGGCTGTTGTAAAAGCAGCGGGCGCCGGTGCCAGTGGCGCCGCCAGTGCTGGACCTGCATCCCAACCAGATAGCAGCAAAGCCGCCACTTCGCCTGCTGCTGACGCCAGCTCGGAGCCGCGAGCTGTGGCAGGGAACCCGGCATCTGCAGACACCCCCGTGGGTAGCGGCGGCAGCACGCCCTCGCGTGGCAAGTCCCGCGACGGAAAGAACATTGAGCCCGTGTTGACAGAGCTCCGGGGGGTCCGGTCCACCATTGCTGCTGGTACGACGAGTTGTTTGTGTTGCCGCTGGTACGACAAGTTGTGTTGTGTGTGCGTGTGATACGGCGTGCGCATGCGCGCGGCGCCGATCCCCAATTAGCGCAGTGCCGGGGAACGGGGCTGGGCCGGGGAACGGGGTACTGGGTCAGGGCGGCAGTCAGGCACGCTTCCTTTCACGCCTTTAGGTGCCACGCGCACGTCTCTCGTCGTTACCCGCTTTAGCATGGCAGGTCTCGGAATTTACTTAGGATGACCACCCCTGGGAGTGTTCGGCCACGGGGATGGTGAAATGCAGATTCGCCCGTTGCTACAATCCCTGTCGCAAGCAGGAGTGGCGCCGTTGTTGGCGGCAGCGACGGATACTGCGGCCCTTGAGATTGACCATATGCTGCTACCACCTGTGTATCGCCTCCCGCACGCTGCATGTGCGTGATGCATGTCATTAAGGCTAAAATTTTCTCTCCGGTCATTTCCTCGAGCCAAATCTGCTCCGCCTCGCCCCATGCCGCACTCCACTCCGACTTTCTGTTTCTCCGGATACGGTTTACCTTCCGTGACACCTCTTCCTGCTCCCAAATCTCCCTTCTCCGTTTCTTCGGCATGCAGAGGGTGATCCCGACGGCACCCGCACCGCCCGAATGGCGGAACTGCTGGACCAGTTGGATGGTTACCGCCGCGGAGTGGAACGTCGGCATGGGCCCTCCCACAACCTCGTCTCGCAGCTTCGCACCCTGCATGCTGACATGAGCAAATGGCTGCGCGCAAACACCGGTGCCAATGCTGCTGCTTCCGCGGTTGCTACTACTCCGTCCAGCACTGCCAAACGACAGCGACCCAAAGCTGCAACTGCTGCGGCAGACGGATCTGCGCCATCTGTGCAGACCGAGATTACTGCACAGGAACACGGCTCACCGGAGCGTATAGGACGTGCAGGCCCTAACGGAGCCCCTGCTGGCGTTGGCAGTCCCGCTGTCGCATCCGCCCATCTGCGCCTGGCGCAGACGGACAAGCCGCTGCAAACTATTGCGCGGGAGTCCCTGTCTTCGGTCAACACGGATGCAACGTTTGATCTGGTGGCGCCATCGGCCGGAGGCACGCCACGCGACAGCACCGTCGCGCTTACTACTGAGACCTTTGCCTTTCCACTACAGCGGCAGCTTGCGCCGCAGCAACAGCATCCGGGTGCCAGAAACGTTGCTGCTGCCGTGCCGGCGGGCAACGATACGGAGTCTGTGTCGTTGGCACCTCCGGCCTTGCCAGGGGCCTCTGCATTCGTGTCGGCGTCCCCAGGGCAGTCACTCTTGGCGGAGGGAATCAACGGCGATGCGGCGGCTCCAGGCGGCATGAGCCTGATGGACCTGGCAAACCGGCTCAACAACATGACGATAAAGCAACATCAGCAGGCGTATGGTGGTCCAACAGCTTCAGCGGCGGCCGGAAGTGCCAGCGGCCATGCCACCGCCCCTGCCGCCGCCGCCGCGTTCCTGCCGGGCCCACGCGGTGGCATGGGCGCTGTAGCCGCGCTGCCGCCGCATTCAACAGGGGAGACTGCACACAAGGGAGGAGCGGAGTCGTTGCCAATTCACGCAGCTCAGACGCAGGCGCACACGCGGGTCATGGCCCTGGGCTCGGGCCCAAGCACGGCGTCCCTTGCCGCGGAGGCGCCGGCCAAGGCGACAAATGGCGGTGAAGCCCCCTCAAAGAAAGAAGCATTGAAGCATAAATCTAAGAGTAAATGGGGATTACTGTTTGGCGTGGGAAAGAAATAATTGGCTTCCCCCATGACATTGTGGGTGGGGGGAAGAGGGAGGTAACGGCTTGGATGCGGCTCGCGCGGTCAGATGCAAGCTGCCAGAGCGCATACCTGCTGTGAGCGCGGCGCACCAGTGTTGGCACCTTGGTGCTCGTGCTGGGTCAAAGCAGTTAGTCACCATAAGTTACTTGCCGTGCTAGGAACGCGAATGGAATGGTAACAGTTGTAAACAGGTTGTTAGATGGCGCCATATGCACATGCATATGCATATGAGCTGCGGCGTCAGGTGACCGACTCCAGGGGATGCTCTTTGCGGCCCTCCTCCAGGCCCATTCCTTACGTTGTCAGTTCACCTAAACGGAGGGCGTTGGTTGCGGTGCGGGTTATCGGTCATCACCTCCCCGCTCCGTAGGACCCTTTTTATTGAGTGTATTGGACTGTATCTGAAGTTCGGCACAACTTAATGCACGGTGGGGGCGCAGCCGCCCTAAACTGCCGTTTTTCTTATTGGTTCGTGGCCGCTGCCAGACTGTGAATGTAGTGCGTTTTAGCTTTTGTTTGACAGAAGGAAGTTGTTTCGCCCGTTTCCCTTTCTCACCGCCCCTCCCAAGTTCTTTGCTTCTTGCATGTCTTTCCCCCCAAGTTGGGTTTGCGTGAGTTAAGTAAGGCCGGTAGATACACGTCGGGTTGTGGATGGGATAGCCCGGCGTGGCAAGGAAATTGTATGGATTGTGGCCCTGCTGGTGGAAGCCTTCGAGTTAGCCATCAGCCGCCACGCGTAGCGCGAGAGGATGCGGGTTTCTTTGCTCTATCCGTTCGATAGTCTTGGGGACTCTTATCGCCGAGGGCTTTTATCGCCGTTGTCGCCGCAACGCAGCGATACTCATGTACCGCTGCGAGGTGAGATGCGGGGTGCGGGGCTTGCTCTTGATGGCTTTTACTAAATAGAACGTTATAATTTCCTTGAGCGTTGCTGTTATTGGTGTATATCATGGACGACGCCAAGCGCGATGGTGAGTCTCAATATAAGAGACCTCAAAAAAAGGCTTGGCTTTTATTAATTTCCATTTGCGGTCGCCTTATGCGGAAGTGTGGTCCTTTTCCCGTACGCGCTCGTCTTGAGTTTGCTTGTCTTGTCCGCGGCGAAAGCTCGCCAACGCGTTCCTTCGCCTAACCTTTCCTAGTCTTGCCTTGTCGCATCGCGTCTCGTCTCCCTTTTCCTTACCTTGGGCTGTGCCCACGCAGCCCTCGGGGCTGTGCTTCGGTTTCCAGGTACCAATCCCCTTATGACAAGGGGATTATTGACTTGGTGTGTCCTCATGGAGTTGCCGTACTCTGACTCTTGACTGAGGCGCTGCTTGACTTGAAACAGAAAGGCTATGAACAGAAAGGGATGGTGCAGGGATATGCTCAGGCGGGCTGCCGAGCTCCGCGCGTGTGCCTGGCCGGTCCGGTACATGCATGAGTGAAGTACTTGATATTGTATAGTGACATGGTGACATAGTTGGCAACTGTGAGGTGAAAGGGTCAAAGCCCAAGTTTGGTGTGCGGCTCGCCAATGAGCTTATGCTTGTGCGCGTATGCATATCGTTGTTGTTGATGGTGGGGGGGGAAGATGAGGAACCGGCGGCTTTATCGCTGTGAATTTGGAGCTGCGAGCTTCCGTTGGGCAGGGTTGCTGGGGAAATGGACTGTGCAGCTTCGCGTCTGCGTGGTCTCGTTGCAAAGCCTGTGCGTCCCATGCGGTGTCGTGTTGGAGTTTTGCTACGTGGGATGAGAAGGCTAGTGGCGCTGTCTGGAGTTGGGATGGAGTACTGGGCCCTAGATGGTGATATGGGAGGGCTTCGCAACTCGTGCGATCCACTCGGGCAGCAAAACCGACCCAGATGGGAGCACGAGGGGACCGGGGTGGGCTCGTCCGGAGTCCCCAGCTCACCTTGCTTATTCCGAGTCGCGCACTGCATGCACGTGTGACATTCCCATGGAAGGCACCTCGGGAGGGTAGGCCACCGTACTGAGAGTATTACCGCGCCTGTCACTGAGTTGGTTACCGTTGTCAAGAGTGAGCGGAACTGAGGACGAAATAAAATATCATTACCTTTGGCAATCCAAACCCCCAAGCACAGACGCAAGCGCATCCTGTGGGGCAATGATATGTACGGCGTGTCTACATGACGATGATTACCCCGGTGGTCTAAGATGGGCGTCTCACATGTGCATGACGTGCGGTGCAGTGCTGGTGCTGTTTTTTACGTCAGGAGCGAGGGCGCTGTTAATCCTGATATTGGTGCTCGGCCTAGAGCGCTTCATATCATATTCGCTTGCGACTTTGTTTGTAACATCCAACGGGGTGATGGTGTCAGCTCTGCTCGGCTGGGGCCCCGAAGCTTCGCCGCCGCTGGCGGTGCGGGCTGCTTCTTCACATGTACATCGCTTGAAACAGCAGCCGGCCGTTCAACCCGCGCATGCAAGGGCTGGGAAGGCTTTACCGGACGCAGTTAAATCAGTCCCCGACATCAGGGTCACCGGAAACATGCCCTGCTGTGCAAGCGGCGATGCAGAGAGCTTTCCGGCGGGAACCCCCAAACACGACCCGAAAGGTAATGGGCGCGGTGGCCCTTCCTCAGCGCCCCGGAACTTGCGGTCCATTTTTCATGGAACGGAGACACAGGACAAGGGGTCAGGGGGGGGACCTTCCGGCAGCTTCCAGCCGAAAACCTTAGCTCGTTGTTAGCTGGGCTAGCACCTCAGCTGTCTCGAAAAGCCAGCCCTGCCTGCAACCCAGTCCATAAGTCAAAATACGGCGCTACACAGATTTCCCAGTCAAAAAGCAGTCCCATTAGGAGTGCATTCCCACAGGGCTGGCTGCGTGCGCCACACCTGCCGACATCCTGAATCTATCGTCACGCTCCGCTCAATCATCTTCCCGGGCGGACCGCGCTGGCCCGCCAATGCATAGACGCACTACATCAGGGCCCCGTATCCCAAGATGTATCCATTCGACCCCGTCCACGTGCAATCTTCATTGCGTGCGTTCCAGGAAATGCATAATGCATAATCCCGTTCGTTAACTGTTCACAAGCACGCAAGCAAAAGTTGCTCTTCTCCAACGCCTTGAAGATGTTGAGGACGTCTGCGGGGTCCGCGGACGGCTCACTTGGGCTTGAAGGGGATAGCCGTGAAGCTGTCATTCCAGCGCTTATAGGCGATATGGTAACCGAACTGGCGATAGGGCAAACAGCCGGGGGGGAAAGGGAGGGATGGAGCGTCAAAGCCCAACCGATATGAGATAAGGGGCAAATGGGAACAGCCCAGCTACCACACGCCGTCTTTGCTGGAAGGACAACTGCCATGTGCATGGCGGATTGAGAATGGACATACAAACGCACATACATACAGACGCGTTACCGCGGCGCTAAATGCCGCCACCACAGCCGAAGGATTACAGCAATGTGAAGGGGGCGGAACTACGCAGTTCAGGGAGGGCTGTCAAATCAGGGCGTGGGGCGCCTGCGTCAGTGGCCGAGCAGCGAACTCTGTGCTGCAGGGAAGCGCATGTGACGCCTGCTGTCCCTCAGCCCACATGGCAACCCGTTTCCTGTTTGACGTTTCCCGCTCATGGTTAGGATCCCAACACACACTCCTTTAATCCCCACTTGTCCCCCCTTGCATCGTCCCCCCAAAATGTACCCTGTTTACCCGCCCTCACACAGCCTGAGCGGCCCTGCTCACCTCCTTTATGAGCATGTCAATCCCCTTGCCGTGGAACTCCTTGGCGCCCTCGTAGATGGTCTGAATCTGCTCCAGCAGCCGCTTGTATTGCTGTTCGGAGCTGTTGCTGCCCTGCTGCTCAATCGCTTCTAACCACGCCTTATTCTCATCGACCTTGCGTTGGAGGTCCGCACGCTTCGTCTCAAGCTGCTTCAAATACGTCTCGAACTCCTGCATTTGCAAGTGCGCGTGTATTTGATGGCTTGAGTCGGTGCATGGGCGTAGAAGGCTTAGGACAGGCAACCGGGCATGGCTACAATACCCAACGTGCCAAGGGCCCAGGAAGCCCGGATGCCTGGTGGTGGGCTTGGAGTTAGAAACGGGATTGAGATCGGGAGCGCCGGAAGTATGAAACGGAAGCGCAGCCATTGGCCGTGCCATACCCTGTCCGCTGGGGACAAACGACGGGTGGCGGTGGTGAGGGCCACGTGAGTTGGGAGCAGATCGCGCTGCACGAGCACCACGGCGTTAAGGGTTGCGACCCGTGGGTCATAGGTCGCGTGTTAGACAGGAGACAACGTTGATGGCTACGGGGTCGAGGTATGACAGGGACATGACTCAAGGGAAATTCCGAGAGGCGGTCGATGATAGTCAGCCTGTCGACGTCACTTGAGATGCTTGCCGATCGTCCCCGTTGTCGTTATCTCGCAGCGAGGATGGTGAAATGATGGGGTAATAGTCCATGGGATTGCAAGGTTGCCGTGATTCGGAGCGGTCGTACTTCTAGGTGCGACCCAGCATGCAACATGGGAAAGCAGCCGTTTACCTTTTTGCCCGCCTCGTCTTTCTTGAGGTCGTCCTCTAACTCCTTTAGTGATCTCCGGAGGCCGTCTGCCGTGCCGCCGATGCTGGTGCTGGTGTGATTGAACTCCTGAACTGTCACATCGTTTGTGACACGCTTGTCCTCACTCCTCTCCTTCTTCATGGTGTGGGCGGGGACGGAAGGAGTGCAGGGAGAACGCCGGGGGTTGCGTTGAACCTAAGAACTGCAGCACCCGGCTGTTCCCAAGGTAAAATCAGTCTGGATGTCGTCCAGGAGTATTGGCAATCTGTCCAACGGCAGCGCGGATTAAATAACTCTTAACCGCACACACTTAGTACAACAGAGGGTCAGGAAATATCCCCACGAGAAGTTTTCCAGACTTACTAGAACAGTCTACTAAGGTAACTTTGTCAGGAGCTGCTAACAGTGGATTGGTTGTGTCATATATGTGAGCTGACCTCAACGGGAACCCGTGCGTGCAGCAACGAGGGTTATGCAGATGAACACAGTCACAGCTAAAAGTATTATTTGCGAAGACGAGAAAGGTAAAGCTTTCGGGTAGACGTTGTACACTCGACTTCCGTACTGGGGAGTTTCGCACTCCCTTTTTGCCTTCTCAGAAGAGTCACCTTGCTAGCGACCCGCAAGGTCACGTGACTGTATCTTTGCAGGCAAGTATCTTGAGCGCCCGTTGCTTCCGGGAGGTGAGCTTGATTGCTGCAGGAACTCTCTTTTGATGTCTGTGTGTTCCTTAGGAGTTGCATGCAATATTCTAATTCCCAGGCTTAATAATTGATGTTTCTGAGAGCCCAGAGTGCAGAAATCTTTGCCCAGCGAGACCATCACGTCCTCTTCCAGAGTATCCTGACACAGCTACTCCCCGCGCATTTTCCGACCCAGCAGGCTTGTCCAAAATGCTAGGTTCTGGCAGCGGGCAGCTGGCGCCAGCCTTGGCGCGGTGCATCTCGACCAGCACTTCCGCTGCAAATGCCGCTCCGGCCTTGGCTTCTAGTGGCTTGCTCACTTCTATTTTTGGTATTGGAGGAAGCCGTGTCGATGTACCCCTCAGCGAGAGGCTACCAGCAGTGACGGAGCCGCCCCGCAGCTCTGCTCCCGCAACAAAGCCTACGCTGCAGACTTCCAGCCTCTCATCAGGCGTTAAAGTTGCCACGATCGAAACTGTGAGCCCTGTTTCGTCCCTAGTTTTGTTTGTTGAGGGTGGCTCTAGCGCGGAGACGCCCTCGACAGCGGGCGCCAGCAAGGTCCTGGAGATTGCCGCTTTCAAGGCTACCACCAACCGTTCCACCTTCCGGCTAACCCGCGAGCTGGAGAAGATTGGGGCCACAGCTTACTGCCGCGCGGGTCGCGAACATGTTGCTTTTGGGGTCGATGCCGTGCGGGTCAACACGCGCGAGGCGCTTGAGATTCTTACGGACGCGGTCCTGAACGCGCGCTACCCCTATTGGGAAGTTCGTGACAGCTTGGACACGCTGAAGGAGCAGCTTGCGTTGCAGCTGAAGAACCCTGTTTCAACCGTCACTGAGGTGCTGCACCGCGCGGCCTTTGACGGTGGCCTGGGGAACAGCCTGGTCGTCGACCCCTCCCTTGTGGACGGGTTCAACAACGAGACTCTGAAGGAGTACCTCGCCGGCATCCTTTCGCCCTCGCGTGTGCTGCTCGCTGGCGTGGGTGTTGACCACACCGACATTACCCAGCTGGCTGGGCCGCTGGTCAACCTGCCCAACTCCTCTGGCGCTATCCCCGGTGCCTCCAAGTATGTGGGCGGCTCCATGAACATTATCGCGCCCACCGCACCCCTCACCTACGTCGGCCTGGGTTTTGAGGCTCGTGGCGGCGTCACGGACGTCAAGTCCACGGCCACAGCGGCGGTCGTCAAGGCGCTCCTTGATGTTGCGCGCCCTACGCTGCCCCACGACCGTCGTGAGCACGAGGTCTTCGCCTCCGTGTCACCCTTTGCGCACGTGTACAAGGGCACAGGCCTTGTGGGGCTAATCGCCTCGGGTGCGCCGGCTAAGGCGGGTGCCCTTGTGGATGCGGTCACAACTAAGGTACATTCCGTGGCCAAGGGCGTTAGCGACGGCCAGCTGGCACAAGCTAAGGCAATGGCGCTGGGCGAGCTGCGTGCTACCACAGCCACCACGGCGGGCCTGGCTGCGGCTGTAGGTTCGTCGGTGCTGGCAACTGGCAAATTTAGCGCCGCCGAGGTGGCGGCGGCGCTGCAGGGCCTGACGGCGGCTGAAGTGAGCGGTTACGTCAGCGCGCTGATCAAGAGCACGCCGACGTTTGTCTCGTACGGCAACCTGTCAAGCCTACCGCGCGTGGAGTCTATTGCCAAACGCTTTGCGTAAAAGATAAGGAGGCTGCAGGCGATGGGCGAAACGGTCCAGGCCCTTACAGATGGAGCCAGTGTTAGGACGTGGAGGCTGCGTTGGATTGGGCTGCTGAAGGAAAATGACAGTAAGGAGCAGCGGAGAGATCGAATGGTCACGAAGGGATTGAATGGGTGCAGAGGCTGCGGTAACTCGGCCCTGTGGTCTCGCATTCCCACGAGGCTTACCTGTACAAGCAAGAACCCACAATATGGGAGTAACAAAGCTCTGGGACTGTGCTGCGGTTTTAGGCTGATTCAAATGTCGCTTAGGCGGTTGGCCGTGCTGGCAGAGGTGAAGCGGCTGTCCTCGGAGCCGCAGGAAAGGGTTGCTGCAATGGAGGAAAGTGCAGATGCAGCGGTGTGCGCTAGCTGCCGCTGCAACTCCTGCCAGGCTTGACAACATAGAATGTGATGGTGCGGTAGTATGGAGGCTTGATTGCTTATTTCCTGCAGGGCAATGGCGTGCGCAGCTGACGATAAAGTGGTGTCTTTGTCAGCTGCTTTGGGGCTGTTGTTGTCATCACACAGTTGAACCTCCAGCTCTTCCAGCTGTGTTTGAGATTTTATCCACGATGGGATTATTAGTATGCTGTGAATGGGCTGGGCGTCCAGGGACATTCGGGGCCTTTGTGTATTTGACGAAGTATAGCAAGAGTGAACCGTCCATTTTAGGTTCCAGTAGCCATTTGAACCATTTCCGTGTATGGTGCGTGCAGCCAGGAGCTATTAAGCGAACCAATTTCTTTTACTCGCCTAGCTTGACACGACGTGGCTCAGGCAAAGTTACAGCCGCACGATGATGATACAGGGGCAATACAGCCGTCGTGCACATAACTACAGGATACTCAACTATACTGTCCTTCGTTCCTGCCAAACTACATGATGGCATGATCACAATGATTAGCTGCGACGACAGCAAACAAGCTCTGCGCCCTAAGCCAGCCATCAGCATCCGTACAACACACGAAGCCTTCTAGGCGTCAGCAGCAAACCGCCATGTACACGTCCGAATTCAGCCGGAGCTATGTGCAGCACTCCTTCCAAGACATGTAGTCTTTCCGAGGTGATATCTAGGACGCGAGGAGGCGCGAGCCTTTCACGGCAAGGCATCCAAATCCCCTGCCACACTCCTCTCCCGCGCAATAAATCATATGCGTAAGTCATAAATGCTCCACAGCATCTCCCATCACCGACAACAATCCTGCTAGCTCAGTCTCTCGGGACAGCCGGCGTCCGCATATATACCCGTGGAACTAAAGCTTTAACATACAGAGCCAGCAGAAAGTCTCATTACCGCGGCAGGCACTTCGCTTAGCTGCATATACACCTATTGTGAGGTCAGATGTCAGGAAAGCCACCACAACCCTCGTTCCAGATTTGTCTCCCCCAACTCCGTCTCCCACTGCTGCTGGCCACACCCACAGCTATCCATTATAGGGCATTTCCCTGGGCCCGATGGGAAGCTCCCACGGCAACACCCACGGCAACACGCGGACATACTGGTGTCCCAGACCAGCGCCTCCTTTTACCTCACCCGAACCACGGGCGCCCCTTTACACATCAGAACAAAAGCAAGCATGCACATGCAGGCACGCCAGTGCAGCGTAATGTCCTCTGTGAACGCGCTCCGAAGCCCCTTCGGACGGCATCTCCCATCCCACCCATCCTTGCTCCCCTGCCATCCAGCCCGCATTAGCGTCCCTCGTTCGGGGGCATCAGCACCTCATCAGGCAGCCGGGTGCCTTTGGTCAGCACCATCCCTGTAGCGGTGGTCACCCGAATGGCGGCGGCCACACCGTCCTCATCGTCCTCATCCTCTTTGTGACTGGCCGCCTGCCGCTCCCGCTCCAATGCCTCAAGCCGGTCAAGGATGCTCAGCAGGTCGGCGGCACCGCTCTTGCTGCCGCTCCCGTCGGTTCTGAGGCCGGGCGAAGCACCGGCTGTGGCAGCGGCAGCTGTGGTGATCGTAGTGGAGGATGACCTTAAGGTGGAGGCCTCCGCAGCGAGCGACGCCTTGTGGGTTGCGGCGGCAGTGGTCGTGGTAGGCCCGGCGGAAGTGGGCCTGAGCCCGGCAGACTGTGGCCGCACCCCGACGGATGGGGCCCTGGGAAGGCCAGCCGCCTGGCCGGACAGCGAGCCCCGGAGCGATAACGACTCCGACGAACCTGGACGGGGACATGGACGGGGGAATGATATGCAAGAAATGAAAATCAACTGCGACGTCTGAACATGGAGGGGGGAGTAAGCAGAGGAATCAGTGGTGAGAGAGGCAAGGCAAAGGATGGGCCCTCCAAAGGCCCGTACAGACGCCGGGCAGGGGTGCATGGCACCGGCAAGGACGGAGAGAAAACACTCTGGACAGGACAAGAACCAGCCGCTGCATTTCCTTTTTTCTTTCTCGTTTTCCTTCCCTTATTTTCTTGTCCGGTTAATTTTCCACCGCATTTCTTCTCCTTCCTTCGCGTCCTAATCACAGTATTTATGCTCTTACAGACTACTGCCATTTTTCCTCCCCCCGTCCTTTTCCCCACTGCCTCACCTCCAGCCGCCAGGTGCCCTGCAACCCGGGATGACGCGTTGATGACCAGTTTGTCAAAGTACGACAGCGGCTTGGCAGAGGACGGCCGTGACGCCGGCCGTGCCTCCGTCTGCACCTCTAAGGACGAGGACTGAGGCGGGGCGCTGTTACGGGGCCGCAGCGGGCCACTGCTACCGGCACCGCTGCCGGAGGACGTGACAACCGCAGCGGAGGCAGCGGCTGCACACAGCGGAGGACGGAACAAGGGAACTATAAAAAGGGGGACATGAGTTCGGCGGAGAACATCCACCAGACCATCTGCGTCAGGAAAGAGGGTCAGGCGGCTGGCGGGGAGTTGCGCCCGGGCGCGTTTCTGCACAACCGACACGGAACCGACCCGGGCGACTTGACGGGATGTCTTTTATAACCGGCCGGGCACACACCCTGGCGCCTCAACTATTCATTCACCCCTCCTCACCTTCGATTCTGCCATCCGCGGTTGTGTCCCCCCGGTTGGCCTTCCTCCACTCATTGAGGGCGTCCAGGAAGGAGCGGTGGCTGTCAGCCTCATTGAAAGCGCCGTCCCCCAGGGAGGGGCCCTCATCAGTGCCGCACGACATGCCGGCCACGGCAGCGCCCCCGCCGCCGCTGCTGCTGCTGCACCCTACCGCGCTGCGGCTGCCACCCACCGCACCGCCCTGCACGCAACGTGCGAGGGAAGGGGTTTCTTACTGTCGCAAGGGTGTGCCCTCCGCCACGCACAAGCTGAAGCGAACCAAGCGAGAGGAACCCACATCGCAAAAAGAGCAAGGCGGACCCCGTTGCTTGCTACTGCTGCTTGCACAGCGTGAATTATATTAGGCCACATTCCAACCCATGCTTCTATGGCCCATCGGCCGCCTTAAAACCAGCCACATGTCTCCCCGCTACCCTCCCCCCTCCCGGTGTTCTCCCACAGCCCGTCGTCCGCACTCAGGGCCAATATCCCCTATGCTGCTACCCATTCAACCATCCGCACGTGATCCTCGCCTTGGGCTCTGCCGGACCAGCGTTCATGGCTGTCCGTGATGAAGTCAGACGGCTTCCAGATACGGAGGGGACGTCGCCGTCTGCACCAGTGCCTGCGGCGCGCGCAGACGAGGCACGAGGCGCGGCGGCCGTCGCCTGTCTGGCGGGCGCTTCGACACTACCTGGTCGCTGACTGGAACTTGTTCCGCTGCCTGAGGTGCAGTGGCCGAAGACGAGGACGATAAAACCAGCAGATAGCGGCGGCGTGGGCGGGGAAGGTGGAGGTAGCGGAGGCGCGGGATGGGGGGAAAGTCAGGAGACCTCTTGACCTCACATCAGAGGCTTCACTTCACACCCGAGCCCAAGGACTTGCAACAGGTTGGTATTGGGGCAGGACGGGGCGGGTTCAAACGGGAATGAGTGGGAGAGGGCAGGAGGCGTACACACAAGGATGGAAATCAAATGCAAAGATGCAAAAAGGATCAACTGCCGAAGTAGCACCAGCTAAGGGTGGGAGGGGGATAAGACGAACCACTGACGATTGAAGCTGGTGCAAAGGGATAGACAGAAGTGGGAGGGGGGCAAGTGCTACGAGGTCACGTGATCTAGGGACCGGAGATGAAAATTGAGCGGCATTGATCCAAAACCGAGGGAGGGTGCAGCTGCTTCCCCCTTGTCGTTACTATATGGGGCTATATGCCGGAGGAAACCCTACGATCCATAAGTGGGGGGAATCTGGGTTTCTGCATAACTCCCCTTCTCCCTACCCTCGAGCGCAGCCCCGGGGCTTTTTGGCGAATTGGGTGCAGAACAGACAGGTTTGGGTGATATCACTAATCTTTTCCGGACCGCTCACCGCTGGGGCCGGATCCCTCGCCGGGGCCTTTCCCCTTGACGTTTGACCTCAGGCCGCCGCTAGCACTTCCGTTCCGCCATATGGAACCCCCTCCTGCGTTTGTCCTGCATATCGGCGGAGCTCCAATTAACCACATGCCCGCTATAGCATGCTCTCGGCCGATAGAATCCTTACATAAGGGCTTCACGTTTCGCGCGTTCCTTCTCCATAGCTTTGCGGAGTTCCGCCAGTTTTTGCTGCAAGCACGAAGCACCCGACAGCATGACGACGAACTAGCGTGTTGCAGTGCATACGTCGCACATATATGTATGACTCAACACCAATTATGGACCCCATACCTCCATTGCTGCAGCCTCAGCGCTGAGGACAGCAGGCTTAGCGACTTTAGGGGCCGATTCTTTCCCCCTTCCGCTAGCTTCCTTGCGCATTTTGTGCTCTATAAGCTGAACATACACGGTTAGAGTTTCATCGACCGCATGCTTGTCACATAAAACTGCGTCTTTCGGTCAGGTAACGAATGCTGCAGCGCAACGACAGCGCCATAACTAAAAACAAGAAAGGCTTTAGCTTGTCATGTGTGTCGATACATATTAAAGGCACTTGAACTTGCAACTAACATTCACCCGGCTGACTGTTTTTTCGTATCGGAGTCAGTTACACCTGCACGACATTCCTTACCCAAGGCCCAACCCTATCCCCAAAAAGATGAGCGCTTTGCATGCCATGCACAGGTTACTTCTTGGCCGAGAACGTGTGTATTGTCCCTCGCTCATCTTCGCTCCTTCATTATTATGCATTCCATCTCCTTTCCCCCCGTAGCCCCCCTACTACCGCACCCCCCAAGCAAGCGTAGTTCGCTTGCCTCCCGCACAGTGCCGCCGCCCTGTCGTGCAGCCCCGTCAAAGCCACATGAGTACCTATATGCATTATTCCAGGGCAATGTAGCCTCCTATATCCAGGCCAGATGCTGCCAGCCATGCCTTGCCATGCTAGCTAAACAACGCATCTTGGCTGGACCATCCTGCAACGGCATGGTTGCACCAAGCAATAAAAGCGACCCATGACAATAAGGCGCGATAAGGCTGAAAGACGAAACCTGATATCGATGTAATGGGGGTCGCAATGGGGGATGGGACTGCCGTTCGTTTTCCGTCCTGTTTCTTACCGAGCGTGTGAGCCGGCTTCGCTACTTCCTCTCGCTTGATCGTCATGGCAGCCGCGGCCACCCGGGATCGCACATTCCACCTGACGTATTTCTTTCTTTGGGATTGCAATCGGTTACACCGATTTAGTTGTAAGCGCACAGGAATGCATCCCCTTGCTGATGTCCGAATCCCTGCTGACATACAAACATATATGTAGTCCATGGCCCCTCCCCGGGCTTTTACGGACACCCCCTCAGGCGTTCGTGCGGAATTGTAACTTGTACGAACCCTTCACGTGCCAGCTCCGATCGGAGGCAATCGCCAACACGTTTCCGCCTCAAAGCAAACCCTTGAACGCGCCAGGGGTACAACGCTCCCCAGTAGCCCACCCTACCCATCCAACACCACCCGCCCAGGTTGCAGGTAACGCAATGGGGCCGCTGCTGGCGAACAAGATGCTGGCTGACAAGGTGCTAATTCCGGTGGGGGAGCTTAGGAGATCATTTTTATCATTTTTCCTTTCTGAAAGAGCAGCACATCAGGCTGCTGAGGCACATCAGGCCAGTGAAGGCCTTCGCGGCCAGTTGCGCTCAATCCGCGTATGACCGTCTGTCCGTCCATTTCCAAATGTGCAGAGGCCCGGCCATCCATCCCCTCCGAAACAGCGCCACCCGCACGTGCACACATACACACACACACACACACCACGACGCAAATCCGCACACGGGGAAAGGGATTCCTGCTCCCAATGCTGCATCCCCATGCCGAGGTAACAAATCCCCTTCCTGGAGTAGTCTGCCCCACCTGACGGAGCGCAAAGAAGCCCCTCACGCCTGCTGCAGAGAGCCGCTAGTGGCCCCGCGCTTATCACACAGCACCCATGTGAAGTCACCGGCGCTTTCATGCCCAATAACTTCCCGCCAACACACCACTACACAGCCCCAGGGGGACTACATCCAGGCCTCTGAGGCTACTGGGTACCACCACCACCACCACCAGCTACCACAATCAGTCAAGGTCAGGCCACCGGGTGTTACCTACCAGTTCAACACTCGGATGGGGCGGCCTCGAAAAAACCCCAAGTAATCTCCCGGATCCCCCGGGGCCCATATTCCCCGTCCGCTCCTCCCTCCTCTCTCAAACAGACAGACGCAAAAGGGCTGCGGCGATAGTTCCCAGCGGTGGCCGCATCACCGATGACCAGCTGGCTGGCTGGCTGCAAGGTGCTCAGAACCCTCCGGCAGACAGATAGGCAGGCAGGTAGACAAGCCGCCCGTTCCCGGCGCCACTGCACCGCATACACCAGCTGCCATCGGGGCTCCCGAAGGTCCGGTGGTAACCGCATCTTGTATGTACTCCACGACCGCTCTCCGAATCATAGCCGGTCACCACATCACCCACCCTCCTCCCTCGGTACGCCTCACCCCCCTCCCCCTCCCCACCCTGCTCAAAACCCGAAATCTAATAACGATTCAATACGTCTTCCCTCGGGCCCTCATATCGCCGCCTCCTAACGCCAGCAAGCAGCAAAGGGGCGTTTGATAGCACAAGAATCTTCCAGCAGGTCCGTCAACATGCATCCGTACATCACAGACATCAACAGAAACCGACATCAGGGCGATGCGTCCGGGATCGTAGATGTGTTTTGGGGGTGTTAACATGCGGCCACGTCCTGTCAGACCGCAAAACGGTTTACACACACGGGCGACTGGGAGGGACGGACCTGTCCGCATCTGGATAGGGAGAGCAACACGAACAGCTGAACGTGTTATGAACCTCAGGAGACCGCCGCGCCCGAAATGAAAGTGCCTAGGCAAGGAGCACAAACACACACACACACACAGATACAGAGGCGGCATGGTAGCAATTTCATAGTGGCTGCCGCTACCTCTCCCTCCACTGTCCATCAGCACCATCATCACCCCGCACGCGGCCACGCAGCAGTCCGCCCACACCCCAGCCAGGCACCATGCCATGCACATGTGGTATTTCGGTTCTGCGCATTCACTGGATGCGCCCGCTGCAGTCTGTTCCGAACGCCTCCTAGCCCCCCGTCTCTCCCTCACCTCTCCCAAAATCGATGCTTCTTCGAGGCTTCTGACATACCTCTCTCTCCTCCCACAACCCAATATACAGCCTGGTTTGTTATTGTACCTCAGGAAGCCACACAGGCACTCGGTTCGACCCCGAAGGCGTCCTAGCACCGCCGGCTTCCAGGACCCAATGTTCAGGTACAGTCTGCAACGGACAGGGACCCACATACAGACGCACTCATGACCGCACGGCCACCGATCAAAGTCCTTCACACAAGACCATCAGGACCAACGCCACCACCACCACTTGCACAATGGCGCTGGCATACAATAGGGCACACACACATACATACATACATGCACATGTGGTAGCAAATCGCAAAAACCTTGCAGTCATCGAGCACTCGTTGGCGCACAAACAAGCCCCCTTGGTCTGATCCTCGACGTTGCGCCAACAGCCCCAGCCGCAGCAGTAGCCGCAGCCGCAGAGCAACAACGATAACATGAAGGTACGAAACATGCACTCGTTGAGGGCCATACACCCACCCCTACTTTTACCAGCCCTAAACTCGCTCCATGTCCTCCTCGCACGCACTGCTGCATCGTGGGCTGGTCATCCCGTGGGACGTGGAGGCAACCACGGTGGCGGTCTGGCACCGTACGGCGGATCGCTGATGCTGCATGGCGGCCCACATAACTCTCCAAGGGTCGGATCGGGTCGGGCCGGGTCGAATCAAACGCCACAAGTCTCCTCCCCAGCCCAGCTTCAATCCGTTATCACCACCACGACCACCCGCCATTCTGCCTCCCCTCCTTTTCCTGTGCATGCCCGTGAGGGCCCCCTCACCCACACACGGGACCTTCTGAATGCAGGGCAATGGCTCCCCCCTCCTCCTCCTCAGCCATAAACCAATAACCGCGGACAGCGCGCACTTCGCCTCTCCTCCTCTCCCCTACGCGCCGCCCCCCATCCCCTCCTCAGCTTCGTCCTTGCCACCACCAGCCCTCCCTACTCCGCTCCACTTTACATCATTCCGAAGCCTACAGCCCCGGCACCCAGCGCCGCAATCGCCAGCAAACCCGACGCAGCCACCAGCTCCGGCGAGCGCGAGCTCGCGGACCCCAGCCCCCTACCCCCCGGTACCACCCCGCGCATGTTGAAGTCCTCCACGATCTTCTCCGCCGCCAGCTTGCCGCTGAAGATAGCGCCCTCCATGGAGGCCAGGTACTTCTGCTTGGTGAAGTCGCCCGCCAAGTAAAAGTTGGAGATGGGGGTGCGCTGGCTGGGCCTGAAGGCTTCCCTGCCCGAGCGGCTCTCGTACACGGACAGCGGTGTCTTGACGACCTTGTACTTGCGGATCTTGGCTAGCGACTGGTCCGCCTTAATCTCCGTCGGGAAGAGGCGCTCCAGCTCCTTCATGGTCGCTGCGATGATGTCCTCATCCGACCTGAGAGCAGCAGCTCCAGGGGGGGGGAGCTTAAATGTTTTGTATGTTGGAGGAAGAGTGTGTGTGTTATTGCGTATGTAGATTATGTAAATAGGGAGGGATAAGGAAGAGAGGAGGCCGAGAATGGAGGTTAAAAACACACCGGCAATGGCACGAACCATTACCTCACCCCCCCCACCCCGTCCCGTCCTTGACCCCTCGCACCTGCCAATCCACTCCTTCGCGGGTGCGAACACGAGCTCCAACATGGACTTGTCGTTATCCGCGTACTCCTTGCAGGTGGTGGACATGTCCGCGTACACGGACAGCAGCGGCGACCGGGAGAACAGCAAGTGGTCAACGGTGATGAGCTTGCGGTCAAACCAGATGTGGATGTTGATGACGGGGACGCCCTCCAGCTCCTTCAGCTGGGCGAAGTACGGCATTGGCTGCCACTGCTCTGGCACCACCAGCTTGAGGATGTCAACTGATGTCCGCCGACGCGTCGTGTGTTTGTGTGTGTGTGTATGGGAGGTACAGGGGGGAAAACGAATCACGAGGTACAGGGGGAAGCAGAGGGGAGGGGGCAAGGAGAGGGGGGAAACACGGCGCAAGATAAGTTAGGAGATGAAATGAAAGACGAAAGGCCAAGGGGAGCACAACGGGGCACGGTGGAGAGAGCTTCCCATCGGGCCCCACCTCCCCGCCACAATACCCGCGTGCATGCATCCATGCATACAGACATATATACATATAGATGCAGATATCCCGCAAGCTCCTTTAGTGCTACCCCACACACCGGACGAAGAGCTCAGCAGGGGCCACGGCCACGGCACGTGTGTGCTGCCCTCTCCATGCTCCCGCCCCCCTGCATCCGCACATCTTCTAGGTTTCAGCCCGCTCTCCCCCCTCCCCACCCGTCCTGCTGACACCAACCCACTCTTGGCCCCCTACAGCCCCCCAGAAGAGCATGGCCCTACGCCCCTTCACAGTCAACCCTACACACACGCAAACTCATCAGCTTTAAACCCTCCCATACTTTCAAAACACACACACGCACACACAATCATACACCAGCCCACCAGCCCAGCCCCCAAGATCTACCCCTTTTCCATTACAACCCACCTGGTACGGCAGACATGTAGAGGTCGCCCTCCACGACCTCCCCGTTGGTCAGTCGGAACTGCTTCACGGACCCGTCATCGTTCAGCTCAATGTCCCGCAGCCTGGCGTTCATCTTGATCTCCCCGCCCCGGGCCGTGAAGTAGTCTACCATGGGCTGGCACAGCCGCTCGGGGGGAGCTCCGTCCAGGAAGGCCATCTTGGAGCCGTGGCGCTCCTGGTTTACGGATAAATGGATCGACGGATGAACGCAAAGAACATTTGGTTTCGGGAGTGCGTGCGTGTGTGTGTGTGTGCGCGCGTGTGTGTGGGGGGGGGGAAGGGGGACGGGGGGATACAGGGAAGGTATGCTAGAAGCAAATGATCGATTGCTGACGTTCGAAGTTCGGAGGACCGCCAGAGTGTTACTTTTGGTGGGGGGAGGGGAGAGGAGGAAGCGGAATTGTGCAAATCAGAGAAACAGAAGTCAAAGGAACAGAAGTGGGAGCCGCGTGCCATATTGGTTTCGGGGCGCGAAGGGGGTTTGACGATTGGCTGGAAAAATGAGCGATTACCGGGGCTGGGTGGCCGAAATTGAGGCAGACGAAGGGTTTCAAGGTAAGCATCAACGGGGCGGGTGATGAATACGGGGCACACCTGCAGGAAACGGTTAAGGGCCGTCAGCACGACGGTCATGGACAGGCGGTCGGGCCCAATAAAGGCCAGGGCCTTCGCCATCGCAATGAAGACTTCGTCGTTGACGCGGTCAGGGACGTTCTGCTTCCGCATCCATTCCGTGACGGTAAGGTGGTCCTGCTCCTCCACGTACTTCTGGCCAAAAATGATGGCAGGTAGCAAACCCAAAGCAAACTGAATCTTCTCCGGCCAAGTAAGCATTTGGTTATTCCGTAGGATGGCAATAATACCATTCCATGGAGCTGGAATATCCGGGAAGTCAAAGCGACTGAATTCGCCCGGCAAGTTGGGCATGGCAAAAATCATGGAGTGCTCCTTCCATTGCAGGCGATCCTCTATGTTTAGCTCCTTGAAGATGTTCATCATGTTTGGGTAAGCACCGAAGAAGATGTGCAAGCCCGTCTCGTACCAATCGCCGTCCTCGTCTTTCCATGCAGCAACCTGAATCATGTAGCAATGGTGCATCAAATTCCACACGACTGCGGCATCACAGGTCAATTGACTCACCTTGCCTCCCAGCACGTCGCGGCCCTCAAGGACGATAGGCTGGTGGCCAGCGTCCGCGAGATACTTGGCTGCGGAGAGGCCAGCCAACCCAGCACCCGCAATCACCACCTTCAATGGCTTGACAGGACGCGGCGCATTTTTAAGCTTGGCTGATAATGCCTGAGCCTCCTGGAACGTCTCAGCCGTCTCAAACGCTGGCTTGGGATAATCACGAGCGACTACCTCAAGGGCGCGACGGCCAACATTACGCCTAAGCGCAACACGACGCGCAGAGAAACGAGCCACGGGCACAGCCTGGCGCGCGCCGGGGCACTGTACTTGCGTTGCTAGCATCGTTGATAGCCGTGTCCAAAGATGGTTTACGGGCGCGAAGCTAACTCCGCCAATTCAATGGAAATTGTATCCAGAGAGACGGCAGGGAAGAGCTCGGGTGCGCGTCAAAATGGGCCACAGGTTCCACGACGAGCGGTTATTCCGTACAACGACATAAAACGATTCACCAAATCAGTCTAGGCAACGGAATTGTTGGGTTACCTTCATCTTGAGGAATGTCATCAACTCCTCCATCCCTTCCAGACGAGGCTTTAACCTTGCGAGCTAAGGACCAAGGATGGACGGAACTACAAATAGGTTACATGTGCCAAGCTCTAGCGCAGGTGAATAAATTTTAGGCCGAGCTTGAACCATTTGAGGTCAATAACCTTTTCCACCGGGCCCCTTGGGCTTGCAGGCTCATGACGCATGGGCCTGCCGGGAGGTTCCGGTGGGGTAAGTACGATCTTCCACCGGAAATATGGCTCAAGGGCTTCAGACTGAATCGTGTCCAACTAGCGGTGTGTTGGCGATTCACGGCGCACTACGTGCAGGTGCGTCGTTGTACGTGACGGCGACGTCGTCGGCCGAGGTCACAATCTCACCAACAAAACTCGTAACGTAAGCCAATCCCAAGAAAATGTACCCTCTGGGCGAGGTGGGGGGGATGCTGGTCCCTTTCCCGGAAGGTTTCGGGTCAGAGCTGCATGCGGTCTCGCGCGCCAACATTTCCCACCCTTGCTGCTCCTACACACACACCATCAATCATCGTGGCCAGGGGACTCGGCACGCGGAGATGATTGCAATTGATCAAATCCTAGCCGCGTGCGGCGGTGCCGTGCAAGATGCGGCGTTCGAAAGGCAAGTAGGTTTCATACTGCGCCGGTGCCAATCCCGTGCGCTGGGGTCCCGGGCATGGAAGACCTCTGTATCGGCACATCCAGCCGAGGAGTTGTACCATGCTTCTTTCTTACCTAACTCCTGAGAACTCCTAGGAATCCTAATGGCCCAGGGGTTACTTGGCCTAGTGGCGTGGTCAGAGCGAGCCTCCGTTACACATGCTTCACATGACGGACAGCATCAGTAGCAACCCTTCCACAGCGCTTACCGTTTCGGCAACATGGACCCCATCCCATTTGGGAAGTGTGCGATGTACCTGTCTCGGCAGCATCAGCATCAGCATCAGCAGCAAGGTAGCCGACTTCCACCTTCCAGGGTGCGGGGACTCTGGCACCGACTGGCTGCCTGGCCTGCCCTTTGCCGTAGCATTCCACTGACATTTGTCGGCTAGGTCTCGCAATTGGGCCTTCGGCTCGTATGGGTAGTTCTACAGGTATGGGGTCACGCACGCCCAACCATGTAACACACACATATATGGCGGCTGGTTGACACGCCAGGATCTGTTCCTCTGTACAGTAGCAGCAACGGGGTCTGTTCCCTGTTCCCTAACTAGGAATAGGTTTCTAATAGGTGTTCGCAGTCGACGTGCTAAACGTGTAGCTCCCCTCCACTATGTGAACCTTTGGTGGGCACATGGTGGGCACATCCAGGTGTGATCTGTATGTCACCGTGGAGCCGTGCATCATGTGCGCCGGGGCGCTGTCGTTGCTGGGTTTTCGGAAGGTGTTTTTCGGCTGCGGGAACGACCGCTTCGGGGGCTGCGGCTCCATCCTTCCCGTCAACCAGGAGGGTTGCGGTCCCTGTGCAAGGTGTGTCGAATGGCCTGTACCGTCCGCAGAGTGTTTTCGCATCAGAAGATACTGAGCCATGATGGGAAATACATCGCGATGCGGTGACAGCGTGTTTTCCGGCATTGCAGGCAAGCATCGGCGGGCACTCACGCCGGGCGCGGCTTTCCTGCCCAGGGCGGGCTGTTTGCCGAGCAGGCGGTGGAGCTGCTGCGGGAATTTTACGCCGCGGGTAATCCATGCGGTTAGTTGGGGCACGCATTCGATAAGGGGGGATTGGATTATAATTATAAAGATGATAGCAGCGGTGTTTTGAGCTCAATAAGGGAGGAGCAGAAGACGGGCATGGCCTCGTTTGTGGCACTGACGACTGAAAGGTGTATGGCTGGAGCCAGCAGGCTTGAACACAACGCCTTCCACACCACGTGGTACGTACTGACTGGTCTCCGCGCGTTTGTTCTGCCGCTGCAGCGCCACGTCCACATCGGCCGGTGCGGAGAGAGGCGTAACCGATGTCCTGTGCTGCGAAGGTCAAGCCTTTTCATTGCCCCGCCTCGCGCCTCTTCCAATGGACAGAAAGTCAGCAGCGAATACGCCAATGGACACCGAGCATGTACGCGTCAGGCAACAAACAACCACATAGAAACGTTTTTGACGTTTGTGTAACATTTGGTTGCCGCAGGGTTGTGGGCCCCAGGCTCGACTTGAGCTTTACATTCAAGCTCAGGATGATCCGTGCTCGCCGTCCACACGGAAACGCAGGGAAAGCGAGGAAAATTTAATAAAAGGAAATCCCATCAACATTGGCTGGTACAAGGGCTCCTGTCGGAGCGCTTCTTAAGCACCTTGGGAAAACATGCAACTGTCAACTGCGAATTCTTTGACGAAACAAGACTCACATACCCTCCGAAGCACGAGCGAGTGGGGCGGACAGGCACGCCACCACAACCATATGCATAAATCGCGCTCTTCTTACTACTACCCCGTGGACAATACATCCTTCCCTCGGAAGGCCACATGTAAGATTTCCAAATGTCAACAATGAACCCGTATCCTACTGGGCAGCCCGCAACTTGCCACCCGTTGCAGGGCGAGCGCCTAGCAATGTGAAAACGACGAAGAAAACGACGATGGCGCCATCCAGGCAACTTGAATAGTCATGTACGGTTTTGGAGCATGTCAGTATTCCTTAACAATGGCCATGTAAAGCACACGCGATTGTCATTAGGGCCAAAGCCAGTCATGAATAGGCGGAAAAAACGCCTAGCAAAGTTCGCTCGTTTGCAATGAATCCTCAAGCACGCTGACATGCAACACTTTATATGTACTGTCACGCAGTCACAACCCCAGTATCACACCAAAGGCATGTGCAGCCCACCCAAGACGCCAGGTACTCGGTGTTCGTTGAAGTCGGCCCTGTGTTCCAACTAACCAGTGCGCCGGATGCGATCACACTGCAACGGTAATCCATTACCAGTCCTCCTCACCCGAGATCCTTCAGCAGTGGTCAAAAACACAGCCGAGGTGAAATGCGTCCGATTATACCGCAAATGGACCTCAACTTTCCTGAAGCCTGGCCCAACCAGCCACACACTGCGCCGGTGCGATACATCAGGGGACGAAGCACCACCATCAGGGGAAGAATGACTAACCATCGCGAGTCAAACAGCCTTAGTGCCGCTGATCAGGTGAGACAGGCGCCCGGGATTACGGCCCCATGCGATATGCATGCGCCAGCTCCAGCCTACCCGACGAGGTACAACCGTCCAACATGCTGGAGCATACTAAAGAGTATGACCAAATCAGCGGGCCCCTCCCGGCCCACCTGCTCTTCCAACAACCACACAGGAATCGACACCCGTATGCTCTCATATTTGTTAGAAGCGCCTGCAACTACAGCTTCCACCGACCAGTTTAACAGGAATAACGAATGCCCCCCCACCGTAATGCAGAGCGCGGCAAAAGCGTAGGCAAAATTCGCGCAGATGGCGCCATACAACACAGGCGTTAGGTCAACACGTCATGGACACTACTTTGAACCGGGACCAGCTGCTGCACGCTGCTGCTTAACTTTAGATTCGCCCTCCTGTCCCAAAGCAGGGCTTTTCGCGTGCCGGGCAACATTCCCTGGGGTGTATATCCCACGTCCGTCAACATCCGTGTAACGCGCCGCCAGATAGCTATGACAGCCATCACCGCTGCCGCTGCTCCATATGCCGCTGCTCCTACAGCTCCTGCTTCGCTCCTACTGCTACTGCGCAAACTGCGGCCCGGTTCATTTGGAGCCAGCGTTGCGGCCCATCTCTAGCGATCGCCACCGATTGCAGTTGTCTTCCACCGCCCGCACAAGTGGAAGAGCCTCGTGAAACACCGATGCCCAGCTGTAAAACAGCGGTAACGCCACAATGTCGAAAAACCCCACCTGCAACCGTTCAACAAAGCGACGCGCTGTGAATAATCACCGGGCCTATCGACATTACAAGCCGGCTGCAAACCCCAGGCTGAACACATTGAACATTGTAATTGCTTACGAATGCACAAGTAACGACGCCAGGCACCAGTGGAGCCAATGCCTCCACATGGCAAGAGAGAACCGCCCCCATTTTGAAACAAGTCAAACACACCAGAGCAAAAGGGAGGCCGCCTGTACCACCCCGTCAATTCTCTTTGCCACGAACAAGTCCAGACTGCATAAACCTTCATTCCCTAATGAGCCCGGCCCTGTTCCCCTGGCCCAAGCCTCATGTGGGTACCTCACCTGCGACTTAGTAATCCCGTCCTTACAACGGTCCATGAGCGGCGAGACCATCATGTGCATGGACTTCTCCTTATCACCCTGCCGGAAGAACTCCTCCTCCAGGCCGCTCACCCATCGGTGGTGCACCTCCCACGGTGCCGCTAGGTGCCCCACGTCCGCACACTTGAGACCCACCTACATGCACACGGCAGTAGCGTAAATGATGAGTGCTATTCCCGAGGTGAACATGCGTAGCTTTGTTCAGAAAGCTCGAAGGTACTTTCGAGCTGGTTCTACCTGGAATTCGCCCTGAGACGCCAGGAACCGCCACACATTCCCCAGAGCCTAGCTCACTGCGGCTACATGGCTGCATAGTTGCTCACCTGCAACACCAGCGACTTGTCCGCGTCATCGTCTGAGATGGGTAGGGGGTCATCATGTGATGGGGATTCCAGGTGCGAGAGATTGGGAGCTGCGAAGTTGGTGCTTCGTAGCTTCACCTGCAGCTTCGACTGGAATTTGGACAGGATGTTAAAATGCTGCTTCATGTCCGTAGCCAGGACCATGTCGATCAACAGCCGCCGCAGGCGCACCCACTTTTCGCGTGGAATCTTCTTGATGAAATTGTAATCCTTCTGGCGCATGAGCTTAAAGGCTGCTGCAATGTGGTGATTTTCCATAGGCGAAATGTCATTGTATGTGAAGGCCAGCTCATCTCCCACCCGCACTAGGAAGTCATTGTTAAGCCCCTTGTGCTCGTAGTCATGCGTAATGGCGGCCAGGTAGCTGGCAAAGATCGCCACATCCTCCCCCAATCGCCTGTGTAACCCGCCGCGCGTGAGCAGGCAGTGCATGCCCTGCAGCACGTCCGCCGCGTGCGTCTTATTGTGGTACGGGTTATCTGGATAGCCGTCCTCAATCTTGCGCAGGAAACGAGCGAGCTTCGTTGCGTCTAACTGAAAGATGTTGATCAGGTCATATCGCTTCATCAGCCAGAAGCCCAGCGCCGAGAGCGGATGACCCTGAGTCACCTCCGCCAGCTTAAACGCGTTAAATCGCCATTCGTCCACGGTGGCGAGCACGGCCTCCATCGCCGGCATGAGGCTAGCCGCAACGACGTCCTTCTCCTCATCCCCCGTAGTGTCCAATTCCTCCTTCGCTGCTGCCATGGTAACCGCCGTGACCGTCGTACCCCCGCTGCGTGACCCGCCAGGTACGGGGCCGGTAATCACCTACGCGGGGTGTGCGCCCAACTGCAATGTAAGGCCCCACTGGCACGGCACGGTTTCGCCGCGAGGTCCCACAACCCAACTCGCCGCTCACCTCGCCATCATAGCTTTCTGGTGCAGGCGCAAAGCGCTCTCCGAGTTTCTTCCCTCCCAAGAGCTGCAAAAGGTTCAGGCCGACGTCCTGGTCCAGCTCCTCTTTCGACACGAGCTCCTCCTCAATTCGCGTCGGCTGCGAGGGCACCAGGGCCATGTGAGGGCCACGAGTCCTGCCAGCGGAGAGAAGCCCAAACCGCGCGCGCACCCCTATCCCACCTGCGTGATGATATCCCCGCGCAACACTGCTTGATGCACGGCCTCAACGCTATTGAGGTCAACCTCCAGGCCCTTGAGGATGCGGTCGCAGATGTCGATAAGGCTCGAAACCGTCGACGTCACTGCGGAAAGCGCGATGTCATAAAATACCGGCAATAACCATGCCCTCATGAAATGCGTCCTTACCCTTTGTGCCGTTGACGATACGCCCATCTGCGCTGCTCTGGCGGTTCCGCTCTCTTCGCACCGTCTGCACGCGGACACCGGGTAAGTGCCAGCAACTTTATGGCCATTGAGTGTCATAAACGGCAGGGTTTGAAGGCTTGCGCACCTTGACGGTCGTGGTATTCACCGTTGGCAAGCTCAGATTAGGCCCACTTATAAGCTGTATTTGCGTTACCCGAGCATAGCTTGACATGGGCCGTAACATGTGGAATTGCTGCAAGCATACAGCCATGTAAGCCCAAGCAAGTTCCGCCGAAGGCACAAAAAGCGGATGATGCCCCACGCACCTTGTACAGGTACTCGCTGTTAGAAAGGTCCTCATGCGGGATGACTCCCGGCAGAACGGAATGCCCGAAACCTGAAATGACCTGGTCCAGACCTCCATTCTGCAGGAAACGCGCAATGTGCTCGCACATTCCCGGTTGCGACATAGCTCGCCCAAACGCACCTCGACCTCGTCCCGAAGAAGCGTATTGAGCACTAGGAAACTAGAGAGTTCCTCAGGTGAAAGACGGGTGAACTTGTAGGACGTAAAGCTGTCTAGGGTCCTGCTCGTGTTGGGAACAGTCGACATCAATCAAGGCCACGCCCCAGAATGGCAATACCGGCCACCTGCCCCTCCAAGTGACTCTATAGAGATTAAGCTCAACCAAGAGACCTCACTTGTTAAAATAACGCAATGCTGCCTTGTTTGCCCAGATCAGCTTTTGGCTCGAGCAGCTGCAGTCACGCGTGATGAACATTAGCTAGGGCCTCTTTGCATTTGAGAACTACGATGACTAGATACCATTCCTGCGCCAACCTGTATAGCCATATCGGTTGGACCACTCCGTCAAGAACCTGGATTTCTGGGGCCAAACTGCTGAAGCCGTTGGGCTGCAGCGACATAGCCCCACGTAGAACTTGAAAATGCTGTGGCTGGCCAATGAAAAGACGTGCGCGGCGGAACCCTCAGGCCCGCGCTCGGGATTGGACTAGGCCCCTTATATCATCCTTCTCGCATACAGAATATAAAGGCGGAGTATCCAGGGTCAGGGGCTGCCGGACCAGCCCCTGAGGCGGGGCCCGGTCAGCCTTTTTAACAAGTGGTGTGGCCTAAAGGAAATGTAAGACAATGGCTCAGGGGCCGTAATAACTACGATGGGACACGCGTTGTGGCGGGACAAACAAACCAGAAGCATCTTCTATCCATGTAGTAACCTGAAGCTGGCAATCCAGTTCAGAGATGAGTGAGTACATACGGTGTACGACGTCCACGCAAACATCCCCAAAAGGTTTCCTGGTCGAGCATAACTCAGGTACTCAAAGTAACGGACTTTCCAAAATTCTGTTGAAAAATGGATGGCACGACAGAGCAGATTAAGAGTTGAGAATTGCTAAACGGCATGGTTTTGCGACAGCTGCTGCTGCTTATCGACGTCGGTATAAGAACTCTTCCTTGTGGTGTAGGCCTTACAGAGAATTTCCTTGGTCATGATCTCCTCGGGTTAACGGCCGGGAGTTCTGTTCGGTACATATTTGCTGTATGATCATTTATATGATGCCACGTACATGAATTATCGCTTGCGACATTGGCGGAGATATTGTGGGGAGTCAAGAGGACCATAGTGATGGCCGGCTTGCCAAAGGAAAGCGCACTTTTTGCAGGTACGTCGCGTCCCCGGTCTGCTGCCACGCTTTTATTTTAGGCTCTGCGCCATTCGGGGGTGTTTGTCGTCATGGATGAAGGAATGAAACCCGGCGTGTGGTTGTTTGGCGATTCCCGGATTATTTGTTGCTAGGATGGCGTTTGATGACGATGTATTTTATGAGTGGGGGCGACAGTGTCATAAACGTTTTCACGGTGATGCGCCCAGTCAGAATTTTCAGGTCTGCCATTCCGCACTCCCGAAACGCCCGCCGGCGCACAAAGATCATCGTCAGTGCGTGATGGCCCTGCAGTAAGGACATTAAATAAAACTTGTTTGGGGGGCGAATGACTTCGCCTTCCGTTACCTTTCAACGGCAAGAAGTATAGTGCGAAGGGGATAGAATCCAATGCTAATGGATAGCCAGCGCGATGCCGTGAACGATCAACGGCATCGTGAATTTTACACTTCACATGTGTGCGCCAACCTGCCTGGAATCCGAGCTTGGCTTTCACTGGGCCCTGTCTTGGTGAACGTCATCACATCAGGAAGGTGCACATCCGGCATGCCGGGAACTGCTTTGACTTTGTCTCTAATCCGTAATTCTTGTCACAGGGAATTGGCGTCTGCCAGTTTCAGAGCGCCTCTAACAGCCAATTGCCGGGGCACTCCCCTCACCTGTGCAGACTTCGGACGTGTGGCTCATGCCCCACAGAACGGACGTGTAGCTCATGCCCCACAGAAACGGCATACACGTGCTTGTGCACTGCGCTGCGTAATTTCTCAGAGCCCAGCTTTGCGGCGCTAAGAGTACCTGCTGTCTCCATACCTCCCTCCCCACCTCCCTTCCCGTTCCCATACCCCAAATGTTAACCCTTAAAGCTCTTCACTCGTCCCTCGAGAGGACCACGGTCATCAAGCGGATATGTCGCGCCCTGGCCAAGAAGCCGCAGCTACGGAATTCTATTGAGGTACCAGCCATGCGCCACGTTATTGCACTTTCAACATGCACATTATCAAAGAACGTACAATTAGATTGGAACTGCACCTGGCAGACTCCGGTTCCCCAACCCCCAGGTGGGCTACATCCAGGGGGAGACGGAGTGGCTGGCGATGATGACAAGGGATGGCCCTGGAGTGCATCGGGACCTCTGCCACGGTGCGTAGATGAGGACCGTCATGCGCGGTGGGGGTATGTGCTGTGATGTGGGCGGGATCTGAGGTTGGGGCTCCGGAGAAGTGAATGTAGAGCGGGCACACAGGCACGGGGCCCTGTTTAGAAAAAGCACCTATATGGTGCAAGATTATTGCTTTGTTTGTGCATGTTTGGGGATGCGGAGTGGGTTGGCGACGGGCGGATGGGTGTTGAGGAGGTTTGGACGCCGACAACGAGCAACAGGGAAATTGAGGGAGTTTAGGTGCGGGGTGATGTTTGCAGCCGTATAAGACCCAGATGAACAGGGTTTGGTGACGAGCCGGTGCGCGCGGTAAGATGGGAGGATGAGGGGCAGGTTGGCAAGGAGATAGGTTTGGCGGCATCTACGTCGGGGATAGGCATGCAAGGGAAAAACCGGGGGACCCCGTGGGAGGTATGAATTGCGAAGGAAGCCCCGGCTTGGTTGGAATCGTCCCTTGCTCTTTGAGCTGTCGGTATACAACCAGAAGCTATGGCTTGAGGATTTGTTGTACCTAACCAAAATTGAATATTCCGAGGGCTAAAACCATGGCAAAACCTTGTGACGTACAGCGAAAACTGAAGTTAAAGTTAGACGCCGGTTGGAGACACGCATTTGATAGCCAATTTATAGGTGAGATAACTGAATATTTCAGAATTTAAGCTCTGAACGATGCCGCACTAGCCCACGTTTTACAAGCCAGTCCCACTGTACCGCCCCTCGCCTTTGTCCCGCTCGTTGCAGTCCGTGCCCAAACACAAGAACCTGTCATTGCCTTTTGTTTCGTAGATCTTACGACGTTAGGTTGCCCGCTGTCCGCGCATTTCGGATGCACTGTAAAACGCTTATCGCTCTTGATGTAGTTCAGTCCTGCGCAATATGTATTCAAAAGTGTCCTACTTTCACTGGAATGCTTACAGTGGCTTCGCAGGCTTGGCGCGGGGATAGCTGACGCATTCCCAGTGGTGGTCCCGATGCCCAGGAAACTACGAGTTTTGTTTAACGAGAAGATAAAACTATGTTGTAAAGTTCTCCTGAAGTACGTTGTTTAGCTCGCGAACTGGCGTTGCTTTGACGTTTTGTCACCCTTGCAAGGGATCTAAAAAGCTTTCGCAATTGCACATGATTAAAGATGATTAATGCTTATATTTCTGTGAAACATGCATAAAATTTCAAAAGATATCAACGATGGCCGACGTTTGCATGCTGACATATTCATGTAGGCCTGGGAGTCCAGCAAAGTGCACAATACGTTACCTGTCCGCTTCCGATTCAGCATAACCCGCGCTTGCGGAATCGGCTGGAATCGCGCTGTGACAGGGCGCATTCCCTTTCTAAGCCCCCAACATCCATTACTTGTCTCATCTGGGTGATTGCCTAGTTTGCATATTATTCTCTAGTGCAGTGCACGGCCAGCTGGCCAGCTGGCTCTACTCTTCGTGAGTCTGGAGCCCACTGTAACACACACACACACACACACACACACACACACGCCCATCCTATTGGTTAGGACGGGAGTTGCCTGCTTAGTAAATCCCTTTACAGGCTTGGAGGGTGGTTGTTCCGTTTATGCATTATTTTGTAAGTTCTTTCACCGAACCAACTGGGAATGGCAAACGTAGGCGTGGCAGCTTCTCCCTGGCTTGGCACCTCGCTCTGTGGTGCTCACTGGCGTTCCTTCACCGCCACTCCCACCGACCAGGAAAAGGCTAATTATTGGAGCGGGGATGGCAGTACGGGCTGGAGATGTGCTGGACGGCTGAAGCCGTAAGAGGTTTCCTTCGGGGCTTTCCTTGCCTCAGCCTTTACGGCCCCCGCTTCCTGTCCTCATCCGTGTTTCCCACGACCCTCCCGAGTCCCCTCGCCCTTCCCAATACGAACTCCCCGACCCCTTCTCATCCCCCCATCGCGCCCAGTGGCCCGCCTTGTCGCCCTCAAGGAGATGGAGTCTCTGAAGCTGCCCTGGTCTCCTAATGGTGATGTAGCGGCCGGGCCGGCGGGAGCCGGGGCCGGCGGTGTGGCCATTGGCAGCGGTGGCGGCGGCGGCGGTGGGGCGAATCCCGTAGCTGTCCCCGCTGGACGAGGTCTGCTGTACATTTACGTGAGCGAGAGCCGAAGCATACGCACACGCGTGTCACATATGTTAGGCCCCCCCTTTTCTTGACGTCCCCCGTTCACGTCCGGTCCTGGTCGGCGGGGCTCTGTTGTGTCTATTTGCTTATTGCTTGTGATTTCGCTCTCTCCTATTCCTCCTCCTAATTGTCCTTCAATAGCGGGTGTCAAGCACTGCCCCTGCCAAAGCCGCTACAAACGGATTTCAACGGCCGTGTGTCGAGTCAGCTATCCCCATAATCTCATACCATCCACTACCCAACATAGTTACCACCAGCAGCAGCACTGCCATTCCTACACACACCCATACCCATGTGCATATCCTAGTGTGCGCCCCTTGGTATTGACAGTCGGGATTTGCCTCGGGAGACCATCGCTTCCTCCGGGGGGAACGTCGCTTACGTCAGAACGTGAGTGGCGGAGTGGTCTGTGAAAGGTTGTGTACTCCTGTGTGTGTATTCCTCCCCCTCTCCCCCTCTCTCTCCCCCGTGCTCCCGCCTCCCCGCTCCGCAACAGGTCCTGCGGGGCAAGGTGCAGCTGCGGAGTCGGAGGAGGGAGGCCTTCGCACCGCGTCTGGCGCAGCGGGGCGCAGGGGCCGGGGACACAGTTGGGGGCGGCGGTGGTGGCGGCAGTGGTGGTGGCAATGGTGGTGGTGGCGGCAGTGGTGGTGGCGGCAGTGGTGGTGGCAATGGTGGTAGCGGCGGCGGACTGGAGAATGTGACGGAGCAGGAGATGTTGGCGCTGTTCAAACACATTGACACGGACGGGTCAGGTGAGTGAGCGGGAAGAAACCGCGGCTTCTTCCTAAGGGGGAGGGAAATGGCAGCGGCGGCGGCGACGGCGGCAGTGGGCGCTATTGTGGACGATAGAGGTGACGGGTGGAGGTGACGGCAAAGGCATTATGGAACGGGGCGGCGATCAACAGCAGCTATGTGTATGGACGCGGCATCGATGACCTGTCGGCGGCTGCGCAGAGCGGTTTTTTTTCGGTTAGGAGTTTTATGTCCTGGAGTTCGGGGTACCCGGAGACCCTTCCACCTTTCCAAAAATCGTGGGGTCCTTTGTATCTCTTTCCCCCCTCTCCCCGCCCATACCCTATACCCGTCACTCTCTCCGTCACGCATGTGCCTATTTCCACTTGTTTCTTTGATACCTCCGAACGCCGTCGCTCTGTCCACCTGGTCCTGTTGTCGGTTGTACGACAGGTGCCATCACGGTTTCGGAGCTGCAAGTTGCCATGGACATGATGGGCATTCATAAGTCCCAGGAGGAGGTGGCGGAGATGATGGACGGAGTGGACACGGACGGATCGGGTACGAGAGGGTGGTTGGGTGTGGGTGGGGGGGGTAGGGCTTTGCAGGGTGCTGGATGGTGTGTGTGGGGGGGTATTGGGGTACTAGGCGGGTTAGGACGCGGAGGCGCAGGAGGCCACCCTTCCCCACACGCACGAAGCGCAACAAACATGGACAACAACGTTCTATATATATGTGACTGCATCTCACTCCCTTCCCCCTCCCCACACCACTACCACCACTTCCCGCACCCATCTAGCGCCTTGGGGGAGTTTTGAAACACGTGCCTTCCACCGGCACCCACAGGCTTGTCCGCCCACACTCGCCCTTGCCTCCTCCCGCTACCTCCACACCTTCCCGCCATCGGCAGCTGTCTCTTGGATGCTGCATCTCATCCCTCGCTGTCACCCGGCCCCTCTCCGGCCTACGTCTGGTACACTCTTGCCCCCTGGCAGCAGCTTCACTCGTTCGTGGTTTTCGTCTTTCCCGCCCCCCACCCCCCCTCCGGGCCCTCAGGTGAAATGGAGTTCAACAAGTTCAAGGGTGTGCTCCGTCGCGCCATCCGCGCCCGCAGCGGGTCCCCCTCCCAGTCCGAGTGGCGGGAGCTGGGCGCGGAGATGTGGTACAGGGACCTGCCCACGGGCAGCTACACGGGGGAGGCGGCGCTGCTGGACCAGGAACCGCTGGTAAAACAGGGACGAGAGGGGAGGGGGCCGGGAGGGGTTTCTGGGGCTGGTTTGGGGGGCGACATAGGGCCTGGGGGGCGGGATGGTGAGGAGGGTGGAGAGGTGCTGGGCTAGAAGGTATCCACGTGTGTTTACGTGGCGGGTAGGAAGCATCGCGAAAGGTAGGTAGGTGTTATTGTCTGAGAGTGGGGGCGAGGGAGGTAGGGTGGGTTGTGTGGGTTTATGCCAGTTTGTTTACTGCGAGCCGTAAAGCTTTTGGCGTCTGTCGCGTCCTTTCCAGGGCAGAGCGTCGTGCGTTGCGTGAATGGTAAATGTGATGATGCGATGTTACACACCCAGAGAGATTGTGTGTGTATTTGCGTGTAAGAGCGAGAGAGAGTGTGCGTGCGTGAGAGAGAGAGAGAGAGAATGCGTGTGTGTGTGTCTTTGAATTGTGTCCTTTTGTGTCTTTATGTTCTCAGCCCCAGGAGGGTATGTTGTTGGCGGTGGAGGCTTCTGACCTGCTGGTACTGGAGAGGTGCGACTACGACCACATTGTGGACAATGGATTTGATGGGGAGCTCAAGGTACGTGGGTGGGGAGGAGGCTGGGGGTTGACTGGGTAAGCTGTAAGGTTTCCTGGTGCTGCATGTGTTTGCCTGTGTGTATGTGTGTACGAGCGGGATGCGCAGTGGGGATGCCCCGGGCCATTTTGATGGGACGTGAGAGGCCGGGGTTGGATGTCACCATACATGCGCACAGAAGCACTGTATGTATGGAATGGAGCTGCTAGAATGGGGAGCTGTCGCATACGTACATACATACAGATACATGGGCTATTGTAAGCTAAAACGACAGTGTTAAGGGAGCCCTGCGGCGGGCCCCCTTCCACCCCCGCAGCAGCAGCTGTAGCACCTACCAGTAGAAGCACTCGCATGTCGAGTAGTAACAGCGCAACTGACGTAGAGGCGTCGACACTCCGCACCCTCCGTGCTGACAACCACCCACCCACCCACCCAAACACACCCAAACACACACACACACAAACGAACACACACACACACACTGGGGGGCCCCAAAGGCCAAGATGGCTCTGCTGCGGAATTCTGCGGTGCTGTCGGAAGCTCTGCGTCGTACGGATTTTCGGCGGCTCGCGTACGCCATGCGTCGCCGTACGGTGCCTATGAGTACGGCGGTTCACGAGCAGGGTCAGCCGCCCGCCTCCCTGGACCTCATTTTGGAGGGTCACTGCAAGGCGAGTGGGGTGGCGTGGAATTGGGTTTTGTGTGTGGGTGTCTTTCTGTATGTATGCGTGGAAAATTACGCCTAAAAATGTACGTAGCCATATGTACATATGTCTTGTGAGGACATGACGCTCGTTTCCATATGCATAGCACGCCTGTCTGTCTGTCTGTCTGTACCTGTGTATCCTCTGTTTGCCGATATGGGCCTTACCCCGGATGTACTCCGTCTCCTTCTGCCCATCCACATCCACATCCACGTCATCCATCCCACCCCAACTAAACCCTAAAACCCAACACATGTACCCCCTCTGGTCCTGTTTCGAAGCCCTCCCTCCCCCCGACCCTTCCCATCCTGCTACGGGCCCCCCCCCTCCTTGCTCCCGTAGCTCGTCGTCCGAGTCGCTTGTGAAAACCCAGCAGCCATCGTCACTCCCGCGCCCTTCGCCTCCTCCACCGCCCCCGCCGGCCCCGCCCCCGCAGCGGTCGCCACCGAATCCCGTCCTACGTCTGCAAACCCCAACATCGATTTCCCAATCTCCGCCTCTTCCCCCTCCTCCTCCTCCTCCTCCTCCACCTCCTCCACCTCCACCTCACCCACGCGTCCCACACGAAGCCCAAGCCCCATCATGCGGCCACAGCAACAACCACACCAACAACCGCAAGCTATAACTCAGAATCGGCTACAGCGGCAGGCGACGCAGCATACGCCGGGCTTTGAGGCTCCTGAGGGGGGGGAGGGGCTTCAGTACCCCGAGGACGGCTCAGAGGTTCCGGTTCCTGATCTGGGGCCTGTGTACGGCGGTGCGGCGGTGTTGATGATGCGTGGCGGCAAGCATCCCCATCTGGCCCGAGCGGGCCGCATCAGGCGACTGGAGCTGGCGGTCCTGGGGCCGGGGGATATGTGCGTGGGGCGTGCATATGTGGGGGTTAGGGGAAGGGGGGGGAGGGGAACGGAGGGAGGTCAGTGGGGTAGAAGTAAGGGAGGGGACCGCAGTGCCTTGAGCGTGGGTGGCAGTGGGGGTTTAATGGATGATGGTGGGTACAAAGGCTGTGATCCGCCCCGGATTGCAGCTCCGCACTCCTCGCTTCATCACACGATTCGTCCTTTGGACACGGAGCATGAAGTCCGTGTATTTGCATGACCCTGTATGTGCGCTGAGCTGGGCTGACATGAATACGCGTTAGCGCCACCACGGCAGTTGTTTTATCTCCTGCTTCCAGGTAAACACGCACCACGATCACACGTAGCATGCTTACTGATAGCACACCTGCCGTGTTTCTCTCCGTCTCCAAGCTCATAGCACAAACTTCCACCCACTCTCACCCACTCCCACCCACTCCCACCCACTCCCACCCACCTACCTACCTACCTACCTACCTACCTACCTACCTACCTACCGACCTACCTACCGACCTACCGACCTACCCACCTAAAGGTGTTCCGAGGCGGGTGTGTTGGGTGAGGAGCGGCAGCCCCACAGCTGCATCGTCACCTCCAGCAGCGGCCTCGTGGCCCTCTCCCTGCAGCTGAGGGACCTACGCAAGCTCGTGCACCCGGCTGACCTGACGGCACTAAAGGAGAGCTGCAGAGTACGGGTGGAACAGCGTCGCAGCAGAATGGAGGTGGCGGCCAGCGTCAGCGTTACCAACCTACAACAAGTACAAAGGAAGTCATTGGGGTCGGTATCGGCGGCCGGGGGTGGCTGGCAGCAGCAGCAGCACTGCAGCTTGCGAGAGCGGTTGTCAGGGCCGGGGCGGCTACCGACGCCGCCGCCGCTGGTGGCGGAGGGGTTGGGGGCGGCGGCGGCTGCGACGGCAGCAGATGGGGAGGGTCGGCGGCAGGGGAAGGGCCAACAGCGGCATGGACTCAAGGTTGCGCAAGGTGCGGGCAAAGGCGATGGCAGCAGTGGCGGCGGCAGCAGTAGCAGCAAGGGCGGCGCGGTGTGGTCGGGGGCAATGCGCATGCCGAGGGCAAGTGCAGCGGCGGCAGCAGCGGGAGGCACTCGGGGTACAAGTGGTGGGGGATTGGGGGTTTCGCAGTGGGAGCCTCCGCGGCCGGGTACGACAGATGCGGCTTTGGAGCGGGTGGCAATTATGATGCGGAGTAAGGTGAGGAGAAGTAGTTTTGGGGCTTTGGAGGAGGCGAAGGGGAAAGGGGCGGGAGGGACGTTGGGTTTTGTGGGCGTTATTGCGGGTCACGGGTTGTTGACCCGGGTCATCACAAACTGTTTAAACCACCAATTGTCAACTACCAATGGCGTTCTGAAACCAGCCCACTGGCCGACGTGTTCTTGTACAGACGCGATCACGGCGCGGCGGGATGAGGGTGACTGATGGCGGCGAAACGTCACCGTCGCAGCCACCGCCGCCGTCGAAACCGGCGGCATCGATGGCAGCGATTCTTCAGGATCGACTCTCTGAGGCTTTGGATATGAAAACTTTAAGCAGCGCGGGGTCTTTTCGGTTGCGGGGCTCGGTACGACGGCGGTCATTGGACGAGCAACTGACGGTGGTGGAAGAGCTGTCGGCGCCGTTGTCCCCTCGCGGCTTGGCGAGAAGTGAGTATCGGGCAGTAGTAGGGCACGTTTGCATATTGCTGTGAAGTGGGGTTGCGGTGTGGTCATAATAAGGGCGGTAACTGGTAACTGGTAACTGGTACCGGAGGAAACGGGTGGCCGTAACGGTCGTGTGGAAAACGGACATGCCCATGTCCTACGGCCCCTAAAGGGGCTCTTTATGCGACGTGACCATCCTTTGACCCCGTATGAAATGCGACCCGCGGGTCATTTCCTCTCATGAAATGTCCCGTCACCTCCTCCTCCGCCTGCCTCTTCCTAACTCCTCTCTTTAAGGCCGGGACGAATCGCTCTCGTCCCGCCGCACAGCCATCATCACGGCAATTGCAGCTCTTGATGCCGTGCCGTACGGCTGTGACGGGATCAGTCCCTGGAGTGTTGACTCGCCGCCGCTGCTATCTTGTCCCACAACCTTATCGTTGGGGCCGTCAGCGCCAGTGGCGCCAGCGTCGAGTTCAGGGTCCGTTGCGGCGTCAGCACTAGCGGCGGCAGCTCCTTCCCTGGACCGCATCATGGCGGCGATTGACGCACCGAGTGTTGCTTGCCGCTCCGGCGGAAGGGTAGTTGGTCGCGCTTCTGTTACCGCTGCCGCTGCGCCATCGTCGTCGTTGTCGGCTTGCAGGCTCGGCACCGCTGCTGGCTATGGCGGCCAGCGGGGAAAGCAAGGCATCAGCATCAGCGGCACAGGCGGAGGCGGAGGCGGCAGCGATGCTCGGGCGGTTACCCAGCAGCCCGTGGTGGCAGCAGGACCAGTCGGACAACCGCTGGCGGTGCCCGGGTCGGTAATAATCCCCGGTGGGGAGGGTGGTGGCGACCATGCGGCAGCAGCGGTGTCTACTATAGGCGCAGCCACGGCCGTCACAGCAGCTGGCGGAGGCGCCGGAAGTGTGCAGGCGGCGATGGAGGCGGTGTCGAAAGAGGGTGGGAAAGACACGCACCGAGACCGTGCACCTGAGGAGACGGCCTCATCCCGGGTACGGGTGGGAGGCTTTTAACGAAGGGCAACTCCGAAAGGCTAATGGGGCCTGTGTAATGCGAAAGGGCCTCCGTCCGCGACCCGTGGGTCAATTTGGGGCCCCATGTCCCTGAGGGGTTGTTAATAGCAAGACAGGTACCCATGAGGCTGTACGTCAGGATACGAGGAATCTCCCCCCCGTGCTACTGCTACTGCTACTGCTACTGCTACTGCTACCGCTACAAGCTCAGCACACTTTGCGTCGTCGTACCTTCTGCCTTTTCACTGCTTTCCTCCCTCCCTCATCGTCGTCCTGTTTGTTTCGACCAGGAGGAGGACCATCAACAACACCAGCGCAACCAGAACCACACCACTGGCACTGCCACCAGCAACAGCGAAGGATGCCAGCAGCGCCAGCAGCCGCAGCAACAGCAGCAGCACCATCATCGTCATTATACTCAGCGGGCAACCCATGCCTTCCTAATAGCCAGGGGGGAGACCTTATCTCCCCGGGGCGGCGGCGCCACAGGCGGTGGAGGCGATACAGCGGCGGCGAGCTCTCGCTCCTCCTCCCCGCCGGTCCGCAGAACCCCCTCGTCCTCCCCTTCCTCACCTCGGAGTCCTCGCAGCTGCGGCGGCAACGGCAGCTCCAGGCGCACCCTCGCGTCGTACGACAGCTCGAACAGCTCGGCGGTATCGCACTCCTCGTCTGTCGATATGGCGGCGGCGGCGGCGGCCCCGGCGGCAGCTGACTTGACGGCGCGCGATAGCACAGCCTCAACCGCTGCCGTTGCTGGTGCAACCGCCTCCTCGACCGCTGCCGCCGAGTCGTCGGCTGCCGTCAGTCTGCTAAGGTCCAGGTCGGCGTCGCGTCGGGCCTGGATGATGCCGCGGCTGGTAGCGGACAAGGCGTCCCTGCCTTGCGCCGGCGCCGGCGTCGGCGCAGCCGTGGCGTCGGCGCCCGTGGCGAAGTTGTCATTGCTGCCACCTTCGCTGCCGTCGCCGATGGCTCTGTCGTGCACCGGCGCCGTGTCGATCAGTCACCCCTCGGCTTCAAGACAGCTCCCATCGTCTCAATCACAGCAGCATGAGCGTCTTCGGCCGCCGCTAGCTTTATATCAGCGGCCAGACGAACCCCGAGGCATGTTGAAATCCCGTCAGCAGCTGCGTACGGACAACCACGGAAGCCGGGGACTGGATCTGCCGTACACACCTCCACTGTCACCGCTGGAGCTGCAGCCGCGGCCGCGGCGGCCCTCCGGGGTACCGGGCTATCGCAGCAGCGGCCGCGGCGCAGCGGAGGAAGGCACGGATTGTGATGGCGAGGGAGATGACGACAACGACGATTGGGATGCGCCCCTAGTGCCGTACATGGCGGCGGTGGCGCCGGCGCCGAACAGTCTGCCATACAAGGGCATGCAACCGGAGCGGGTGGCGTCAGTGCCGGGATACGACGGCAGCGCTGCCGCTGGTATGACACGGCCGCCACCACAGCCGCCGCGCGCACCCACCGCGCCACCAGCGTTCCGCGGACTGGAGGTTCTGAAGCTGGGCTTGCATAAGCTTAGCTTGCGGGATGCCTGCAGCGGCGTCTTCAGTAGCACCACCGCCGCTGGTGACGGCACTGCTGCGGCAGCGGCGCGCGGACATAGACCCTCTTGGAGCTCGGCCAGTGGCTATCAGAGCGCACGGGCAGATTGGTTTGGCGGCAGTGGCAGCGGCGGCGGCGGCAGTTACCTGAGCGGTGCTTTGACTGCTCGGCCAGATTGGATAGGCAGCAATATCAGCAGCGGCGGCGGCGGCGGTGGTACGTTCACGTCATCGGTGCTGACGTCACGATCCGACATGGTGAAATCCGTACAGTCGCTGCTGCGCGGCTGGCAAACCGCCAGGACTACTGCAGCGGGCAGCCGCTCCAGCGTCAGCGGCGCCGCCGACCCCTCAGCGGCCCCGTCAACGTCTCCTCAGCGCTTCAACCTGCTCGGTTTCAGGGCTCCATCCGAGACCCATACAGGAGGCTCGCGGGCGGGAGAGCCGTCGGCGGCGGCGGCGGGAGAGGCGGCGGCAGCGGCGGTGACGCTGAACCTGTGGCAACGGGACTCCGTGGCCCCGGCGATGGCGCTGTCGGGCGGAGAGCGGGGCCGTCTGGCGGCCATTTACACGGGAATGCTTCGACATGGCGAAGCGACTGTCCGACCCACCTTGGAGAATTCCTTGCTGCGGCAGCAGCAGCAGCAGCAGCAGCCCCACCATGACTACAACCATCATCACCATCAGCAGCAGTACCGCCAGCAGCAGCACCAGCAGCGGGGCGCGGGATCTGGCTGTGTGGACGATAGTGCTAAGGTGCGTGTACGGCTGCGCGCGAGCGCGCAATTTTACAAAATAATGGATCGATATAGAAAGGCATTTGTTATGTGTCCATGTGTGTCGTTGTAGCAGCAGCAGTACTCGTACGACTATGTCAGTCGGTTGTAGCTGTTGTTGTAGTTGTTACACTGGAGCCGGGGCCGATCGGCCCGGCCACGTGAACGGCCCTGAGCCAATACCCCTTGGCTCGCTCGACGTCTCCGTCGGCCCTTTCTCCTCTCACCCCTGTCATGAACGGCAGGTGGGCCGCAGGTCGAACGCGGCAGCCGCGATTCCCGCACAGCAGCACTGCACCGCCAGCACCACCACCACCACCGGCGGCGGCGGCGGCACCGCAACCCCACAGCACTCCCAGGCTTGTACGCGTACCGCCCCTACCATACCCACTACCGGCACCGGGCCCTCCGGCATCGGGGCCACGTGCAAGCTCCGGACCGCCGCGGGAATGGGGATGTCGGCCTGGATAGCGAGCCGGGCGGCGGCTGTGGCTCGGGAGGTGATGCCTCGGTCCCCCGGCAGGTGAGGGGGGTTGGCCGGCAGGTGGGGGGGAGGTTGTTGTAACACACTCACTCACTCACTCACTCACCTACCGCTCACTCACTCACTCACTCACTCACTCACTCACCTACCGCTCACTCACTCACTCACTCACTCACTCACTCACTCACTCACTCACTCACTCACTCACTCACTCACTCACTCACTCACTCACTCACTCACTCACTCACTCACTCACTCACTCACTCACCTACCGCTCACTCACTCACTCACTCATCTCGCCCCACCCGGCCCTCTCCCCGCACCCACCCCCGCACCCACCCGCCCACTGAGAGACCGCAGGGAACCTCGAACACACCGGAGGTGATCCTGAGGCAGGGTGGGCATGGGTTGTAAAGCTGCCGTGCTGACCTCGTCATGTAATGAACTATGTAAGGAAGATCTTTGGAGAGCGATTCGGTGGAGAGCTGTACGAGGTGAAGATGGGAGAGGTATTTCTCGTGTTGAGGAGGGTACGCGTTTTTGTGTGTGTGCGCGTTGTCTGTCTGTCTGTCTGTCTGGCTAGCTAGCTGGCCAGAGGGCCTCCTGCCTTGGCAGGGCAGACCGAGGGAAAGCAGGGCAGCTAACGGTTGCTCGGGCGACGCGCAGCCGAGTGAGAGGAGGAGGAAGAAGAGGGGCCGGAGACTGAGGGGGAGTTGTGCTGAGCCGTCTGTCGGTGCGTGGGTGACAAGTTAGAAAAACGAATAAACAAACAGGGCGATGAGAAATGTCGTCTCTTTCACTGTCGAACTTTATAAGATTATTTAAATTTTATTTACGGCTTTCTAATTATGTTGTTTATAATTACATCTTCTTGAGGTGCGGTGTGTGGATCTATGATGAGGGATACGTTTGTCATTCCGTATAGGCGTTTTTACTTATCCACTGCTTTCTTTTGAGTACGTTACACGCTGCCAAGCTGTTTGTACGATTTTGCGTATCTTTCTCCCTCTACGCCCTCACAAATACATTTTTTATTTATGCGGCTTCCTAGTGCAGGGCAGCTTCTTCGCCTGGACTGATGAATACCTCGAGCAACTACATAAAAATATTCATGTCGGTAATGTGTCGTCGTCTGGATTATTATGATGATGAGCGTTATGAGGTGCCATGATTAGGACAGTTGAGCTGTCACTGCTGGCTGCTGAGGGGGTGTGCGGAGCATTTGATCATCCGGCCATTACGTCTCGACGATGAATGCACGTGGGGGCGAACGGAGTGGCGGTGTGAAGTGCGTTCGGGAGGAGAAGGGGGAGAGGAGGGGCGGGAGACCTGACGCGGGCTGAGGGGCAATGGAGCGGTGCTCGATCGAGGGAGGGAGGGAGGGAGGGAGGGAGGGAGGGAGGGAGGGAGGGAGGGAGGGAGGGAGGGAGGGAGGGAGGGAGGGAGGGAGGGAGGGAGGGAGGGAGGGAGGGAGGGAGGGAGGGAGGGAGGGAGCGCAGCGGAGTTGGGTTTTCTTCGCAGGTGTACTAATAACGGGTTTTTCCGCAATGGATTCATCTTTTTATCTTTTGGGGGTAATTTGGTTGAAGAGAATTTGCGCGGGTAACAGAAATGGGAAGCAATGAATATGATGTCGGAGGCGAGGTTGGTTTTACGAACCGAGCTTGAGTTCTTGCCTGCACTGCTCGGACGTGAGGTGGGTTGAGAAGGCAATGCGCGCCACAACCTGTCTGTTTGAGTCTCTGTGCCTCTTCCTCTTTCTTGCAATTCGAAGTCTGCTTGACTGTTGCTTTTGGAATTCCTTTTGTGTGTTATCGCACGCGAGAGTTCTTGCGGGCATCTTGAAGCGGATTTTGTGTTCCTCTGGAATTTTTTTATGTATTTTGTTCTATTTGGGTAATGAAGGGCGGCCCCTTCCCATTTTCTTTTATATTTTTGCATAGCTGATTATGCTTTTTTATTGCCATTTGTTTGTTGTTTTCCAAACCGAAATACACAATCACTGTTGTACGTGATTAGCGGATTGGATCCTTTTATTGTGATGATTGTTTGGTGTTCTGTGCTGATGCATATTTTCTGTTCATAATTTTGCCATGCTCTGTCTTTTTTCCTTTTTTCGTTTCTGTCGCTGTGAGCTATTAGGATTTCTTTTTGTCTTGCGTTTATCTTCGTCATCTATCTGCCTGCAATTTTTAGTATTTAATCTATCATTCGGCGTATCTATCTATAGCTCGGGCGTTGCCTCCACAGTTGCTGATTCGGTTCACAGCATCGAGTGATGGGGTCATGGAGCGGTTGCAGTACTGATGTACATTATATACCGTTACCACCTTTGAGGCCGTCGGCTGATCGTGACAGGCGGGTTGATGAAATTAGTTAAGAGTGGAATACTCCCCCCGCAGTATGTGAGCAAGGTCGCAAATGTCATGGGCGACCCGTTCAAGTTGGAATGCGGCTTTTGACCGTTTGCTTCTCGGGGTTCTCCGTCAGGTTATGGCCAGGTGACTGTGAAGGCGCGTTTGATGGTTTTATGTGATATTTCATGAACTAATAATATGCAATCATGCAACTCCGCATGCTTCGTTGCAAAGTGCTAGTAAGCCTCGTGTGCCCTTGTGTACAACAACAGCCGGAACGCGGCGACGTGCGTCCATAGTCCCACGTGGCAACGTCGAGCATCACAACTACGCAAATCGTCACGAGTTGAACACGCAACGCAAGGCAAGGCAACGCCACCGGCGGCGATGTGGAGTATTTTATTTTGGACATAGCGTTAATCCAGGGGGGAGCCAGTCTGCGGCGCGATGGAAACCTAGAATGGGAACTCCAGGTGCGGAAATCACTGTACGACAAGACCACATCCAATTAAAAGTTAAGGAAAACAGATGAATAGGTCAGAGCGTTGGATATGGAACGTGAGCGAAAGTTGCAACCCCGACATATTTATGCTCTTAAGAACTCCTTCGGTGTCTTCGTTTGCCGCAGAAGGCTCCCCTGTCGTTACGCTCCCCTATCCCCTATGCTCGACGCGAAACGATTGCTACGGCTCCTGTACTTGCAGACATTACTACGAGGCCGTGTTCGCCTGCTGGCGAGCAGTGCGGTGTGGGCACAACGAATGTCGGTCGTCCAGTCTGCGATTGTTACAGAGGACCCTCGTCCATTCGTCCAGTCGCCCAGACACAGCTTCTGAGGGTTACATACATAGATAAATACAAATCGCAAGGCCCACACGGGCGGCATGACGCTAGCAACACGTGTCCCGAAGAGTAGTACGCATTGTCGTGCATGCGCTTCGGGCAATAACCGCATTTACCCTTTTATCCACAAAAACGAAGAATTAGAATCGCCGCTCGTAATAACTATATAATAATGACAGAAGAAGTGTTTTGTGCGCTTGTTTTTCCGCGTGCACAGAAAATACCAAACAAGCAGAGCGAAAGAAATCACGGTAATGCCGCATGTACGGCAATGAAAACAAAATCATTATAGGACGACTCATTACACAATACCCCAACCCCCCATCTTTTACGCCAGGGGACAGGTCACCCCAACACCCGGAGGAGCTCATGTCTAGGCAGTGGCGCCGCCGCCACTAACCTCCACCACCAAGATTTGGTGTAAATAGAGGCTTAGGTACATACATACATGAGTACAAACGTACATGGGCACCAGGTCTGTCGCTCTTTCGGCCCGGCGTATTAAGGCCGAATGGCGCCCCCCCCAAATGATCGACCCCAGCCCCAACTTCAAACCTGCAACAGCACCCTAGTCAACCCCCTCCCCTCCTAGGCAGCAACGCAACCACCAAAATACACAGGAGGTGCAGTACAACTTCCCAACCCCATGGGGCCAATTCCATGAAAAAACCCCAAAAGCCAACTGTGTTCGTCTGTTTGTTTGTTCGTTCGCTCTTCTTTTCCCCGTCCCGCGGCGGCTGCCGCTGCCGCTGCAGTTACCTGTTGAGGCCCTAGGCGCTCCTAGGCTTCGTCCGCCTCCACCTCCTCCGCCTCCAGCAGCTCCCCTAATCGCCACGCCGCCATCGCCTGTGCCATGGCACTACCCTGCTGCTGCTGCTGCTGCAGCAGCCGCCGTCTGTACGGCCTCCCAGTCAAAATCCAGTCACACGACATGACGTTTCGGTCCGGACCCGTAGCCAGCTCCCGTTTGAATAGCTCATGTCGGGGGCCCAGCACCTCCGTGAGACGAGGTACCTCGGGCAGCACCAATACACGGGGCCGTCCGCTACTGGCGGTGGTGGCGGCGGCGGCGGCGGCGGTGGTGGCGCTGTCCACGTCCGCCGTAGCTGCTGCCGCCAGATCGGCGACGTTCGCCTGGAGTCCGCTGCCGGGACCGCCGTACTTGTCCATCAGCGCCGCCGCCAGCCGAGTTACGTCCCACGCCGCCGCCGCCGCCGGCGGCTGCAGCAGCTCCCGGGGCACCGTCACTACGTCGCCGCCGCCGCCCTGGAAATCAACGCTGAAGCCGCTGCCGCTGCTGACGCCGCCGCCGAAGCCGGGCGACGCCAGCAAATCTTCCGCCCTGGTGCTGAAGCCCAGCTGGCTGAGGTGCTCGGCGCTCTGGCGCGCCGCCGCAAGTCCCGCGCTGTCCCGGCGAATGATGTCCAGGAGGTGGTCGTACTCGGGCGCGAGGAGCCTGTGGGCGCCGGGAACAAGAGGGGCGGTGCAAGATGCCACGTCATGTGTATCTATCTATAGACAGACAGACAGACAGGCCGACAGAGAAAAATGCATGGATGCAGCCAGTCAGATAGACATACAGAAACTACAATATCTTTACAATATAGCCCACATGGGAGGATATTCTTCTTTAACTTTTAGAAAGTACCCCTTTCCCAACCGCCATCTACCGCAACGTTCCGGAGTTCAAATCCCTACAGTCAGCCGCTCAGGACAGAGTCAGGACCAGAAATTTGTGAACCTGAAAACGTATTTTATCCAGTTTGGGAGCTCGGGATTATCTCCTTCGCTGTTATTTGTGACAGTAGTCACACAGACAGCAGGCAGGCAGACAAAGAGGCAAAACAACAAACAGAAGGGACAAACGGACGGACGGACACGGTGACAGAGAGACTGTCAGGCAGCCAGACAGACAGACGAACAGACGAACAGACAGAGCAACATTCCTAATCCGTTGCTCGGTGACGCACTTACCCGCCCGGAAAGTACCATCTTGACGCCTGGCACCCGAAAGGCAGATACCCGCCCCACAGACATCGCAGGTCCTTGAAACCCTTTCCCCGCGGCGAGTAGGGGATGTGGAACCCCTGCACGTAGGTCCGTGTGTGTGAGGAGGGGTTAAAGGTTAAAGGTGGGGGGTAATGACCCAGGAAAGGCCACACACGCACACCCGTCGGTACCCCGCCGGGTTCCGCTGCGTTGCGTTCCTGGGTGGTGGTGGTGGCGGGCAGCGGGTGGAGTGCTGGTGCGGTGTGGTGTGTTCAGGGGGCCAGAAGGGTGAGAGGAGAAAATTGGAGAAATCCTCTCCTCCCCTGCCCCCATTCCCCAGCCCCTTACCAAACACAATAAGACAGCACAGTAAGACACGTCCGCACACGCACACGCACACCCGCACCTACCCAGATTTTCCTAACACCTTCCCTTTCCCCTCCCTCCCCCCTTACGTGATGCACCACCAGCGGCAGCCGGTTGTTGGCCTCCCCCCCCAGCCAGCTGGCGTTGCAGGGGGGTGCGGGGTAGGCCACCGCACGACCCATCTCGAGGGCCAGCCGCAGCAGCGCCAACACCACCGCCGCGAAGTCCCCCTCCTGCGACCACTTCCCCCCCGCCACCAGCCGCGGGTCGAGGGCCAGGACGTCCGGCAGGGGGGCGGCTCGCGTGGAGGCGAAGAACACGCCCCGGTTGGGGTGAGCTGCGTGGGCCACGTCCCAGTCCCAATGGTTGAAGGCCATCTGCACCACCCGGCATCATTCGCCGTGGGGAGGGGTGCGATTGGTGATAGAAGGAAAGGGGGAGGGGAGTGGGGTGGAGGGGAGGGAGGGGGAGGGGGGAGGGGGGAATAGACACGCATTCGACTGGGAGCGTGTGGGTTTTACGGGCGCCCCGGAGCAGCCTCGCCTTCTCCCCTCCCCCGTTACTGCCGTCCTCCGTTAAGAGCTCCCTCTCCTCTCCCCCTCCACCCCCTTCCCCTTTGCCCCGACACACACGCACACGCACAAACACGCACCTTGACGGTCAATTTATTCGTTGCCCCCCCGGGGACATGTACGAAATGCGCCAGCGCCGCAGGTGGCTGACCCGTGGGTCGCAGCAGTGCGGGGTTCCAGTAGCCCAGCGCCCCCCCTTGGGACCAGCTCTCCGATAGGTAGATGGGCAAGTAGGCAAATGTCTCCGTAATGGTGGCGGCCAGGTCGGCCTGTAAGTACGTACGTATGTACGTGTGGGGAGAGGGGAGGGCGTTAACCGGGGTTCCTCATGTTCTCGTGAAACATACTCGCGGCCCACAGTGTAATCTAAGACATACATACATACATACATACATACATACATACATACATACATACATACATACATACATACATACATACATACATACATACATACATACATACATACATACATACATACATACATACATACATACATACATACATACATACATACATACATACATACATACATACATGTCCCCCATCCCACGCCACCGGGGCCCACCTTCGTGGGGTCCTCGGGATCCGGCCACAGAGGGACTCCATCAGCCTGGTTTGGTGGGGGGTTACGTACGGGAGGTGGTGGTTGGAAGGTAGTTTGTTGGTAATGAAGTTTGTTCACAGGTTCTTTAGTTGGCGGCTCCTCCCCAGTCCCCACCGGAAGATCGCCAAGCGGTGAGGCGTGGGCCCCATGAGCCCACAGGCGCAAGTTCCCGGACCCCCCCCTCAGGGTATCGCTTGCTTGGCCTCTTTGGCTGCCGTCATCCCCTCCCCCTCCAAAACCCGCTCTCCCCCGTCCTCACCTCCAATATTTCCCGCCATATTCGCGACGTCTCCCCCCGCTGAGGCGGGTACACGGCACCCCCCAGCTCCATAGGCCAATCGCCCTGAGGGGGGAGGGAAGGGGGTAGGGAAGGGGGGTAGGGAAGGGGGTAGGGAAGGGGGGTAGGGAAGGGGGTAGGGAAGGGGGGTAGGGAAGGGGGTAGGGAAGGGGGGTAGGGAAGGGGGTAGGGAAGGGGGGGTTACACATCTAAACCAGCCCAACTGCCCCTGGAGCAGTCTGATGGGGTGGGTGGGTGGGGCCGTGTAGCACACACACACATATACACATACAGACACACGCCTGTCATTTAAAAAAAATTCCCCCCCTTGCTCTTCATTCACCCCGGCCCACACCCCTACCCGGGCATTAGGGACCCGCATGGTGGCCATCCAAATGGTCTCCACCCTCTTGTGGGGGTAGTCCGGGGCCTCAGTCAGCAGCTCAGCGGGCCAGGGCGCGGGCACATCCTTGGGGCGTTGGGGGGGCAGGGTAGGGGGAAATGAGAAGGGAGCGTGTGTGTATGTGTAGAAATATATGTACATGTATGTATGTATGTATGTATGTATGTATGATGGAGGAAGGGGGCCCCAAGGTGCTGCGTACACACATGGCTGCATGTTGACACGACACGTACTCGCAAAAGCCGCATAATGCACGCATAATCTCCGTACGACACATGGACGACTGTACAGCAATTCCTCCGGCACATAGCAGTATGTAGCGAGGCCACATGTCCGCCCTAAGAATAAAACACACCACATGTGCCGTACCCTGAGATAATCTTGATGTTCAAAGGGTCGACCGGGTCTTCCCCCGAATAGTCGTACATGTGACTCATCCCACTCAGCCTTCAACGAGGGCGGTTCGTATTTTAACCAACAGCTGTACGACACAGGGCGACCCGCCAGTGTCGACAAGAACGCATCGCTGCACGAGGGACGGGTGTGCGTGTGTACGCATGTATGTATGTTGTTACAGGGTGGTTAACTTCGCCAGCGGCCCCCTTTCCCGGGGCAGTCCCTGCTCTCCCCTGCTAGAGGGGCACCCTAATCCGTCACCCCATCCGACTTCAGAATGTATTCGTTGAGTTCGGCAACTCACCACCAGCATCCAACCAAATCTAGCGGATCAACGGCGCATCAACTTAGTTCCTGGTCAGCTCGCAAGTTGATATTATCACGTCCTACACCGTCCATAAGATGGGGGGCCACCTCCCATTTCATCACTCCTCAAACACCCGAGGAGCCGGCAGGCGGATTTGAACCCGGGTCGACTGGGTCAACTGGGAGCAGAAGTCAGGCCTTAACCTCTGCCAGCCGCCTGCCTATGTATGTATGTATGTATGTATGTGTTTCAGGGGAAAGGGTTTTTTGGGGGGTTGGGGGCCGGGGAAATGAGGGGGGAAGGGAGGGAGGGCGTTTAGAGGCTGCAGGTCCGGGTGGGAAGCAAAGGTGCTCTGAGTGTGCGTGTACGACTGCCCAAGTCTCCCTTGCCTGCAATACACACGCACATGCAAAACACACATGCATGAACATGTGCGCACATACATACATACATACTCACATACATACATACATCTCGCGACCCACAGTGTAATCTAAGTCATACATACATACATACATGCATACATACACACAGCACCGCCAGGTGGTCCCAAGTGACCGTTTGCTCCACTGCCCCGATTCCCACCTCCATCTCCCCCCGTCCCGCCTCACGTGCTCCAACACGGTGAAGCTGCCGTACAAACACAGAACCAAACACACACACACACACACACACACACAGCCGGCACACCTCCCAGCTACCCCCCCCTTTCCGCGCAAGTTCGAAACCCACCGGACCCCGCCCCGCCCCACCTGTACATCTGTTGGTCCCAGCACCAGCCGTTGAGCCCCCGGCCACTGAAGTAACCCGGGTTGTCAGCCCATCTGCGTAGTACGAATGTACGGACATACCGTTATAAGGATGTACGAGCAGGTGTGGCATACCAAAGGTGGATAACGGAAAATGGTTGGGCGGGGAGAAGAGAGAACCCTTCGCCCCCCAAAACACATACACACACACCCCTCCCCCCCTTCCCCCCACCCCACCTCTCCAGGCGGTCAAGCACCTCGGCCAGCACGTACGCCGCGGGCCCGTCTGGCCGAGCGTTACGAATGTACACCACACCACAATTAATCCTGCAAAGTACGGCCAATCGTACGACATTAGGTCCGTACGTCGTATACTCATGGGATATATAGACATGTACGTGCATCTGCCGAAGACCTTAAATCAAGATATGTACTAATACATACACACACTCGTATGGTTCAGCCCTCCCGTCCCATACACCCACCCCTTCTCCCTCTCCCCCCCAACCAGCCAGTACCACCCGTACCACCGTCCGCCTCCTCCGACACACAAACACAGACAGCCCTCTCCCTCCCATCCCCAACCCTCTTCCCGGCCCGCCCATCCTCTAAAGCACATAAACTCCAATTCGCCGGTCTTCCCCCCCCACCCCCCTCCTCATCCCCCCCATCTCCCCGCCCATCTCCCCCCCTCACCATCCATTGCCGTCCCGCATGGTGGCGAGGTTGGCCTGCCCCAGCGGGGCG